GGCCATGCTGGCTGGCGGTGATTGGAGGTGCGGTCTTCTAACGCTTCCGGAGGGACCAGGTTGGGGAAGGCAGGTGAAAGCTGTCGGGAAGGCAGGTGAAAGCCTTCTGCATTCAGGGCCACCTGCCACAGCATGGAAGGTCATCTGTCCTGTACTCCTGGAAATTCATCACACAGGACTCTTTCTCTCGTGTGCTGGAGAAACGAGCTGGGATGGGAGCACCGTGTGGACGTCTCTCCCTTGGCCGTGCAGTTCTGAGACACGAGAGGCTTGGAGAGGAGCCGTGCTGAAACCCTCCTGTGGCTCTCAAGGAAATGTCCCGGGGGCTCCAATAAAGCTGAGGACCCAGCCCGGTTCTGCAGGGTTCTCCAGATGGCCAGGCACTTTGCCTTGATGACCCCACCCCTTTGTCCTGACCACCCCTTTTTTCTTGGCTTCCTGGCTTTTGTGCAGCTTTCCCGCTGTGAAAGGTTCCGGTGCCTCTGCTACAGCTTAGCTACTAGCTTGTGGATTTTAGCACTGCATCCTACTGGTATTTTTTGTGTTCTGACCCTGCCCCTTTTGCTTCTGGCCTCATCCAGTGGCAGAATACAGTCCTCGAGGGCTTCTCTGGAACTGGATGTGGACCTCCGCAATAAAGCCTTTCCATGGTTAAGCCTTCTCCTTGTGCTCTCCTCTGGCTTGGTTCTGGTTTTGCAAGACATCAGCTGCATCCAGCAAGAGGGTGTCTCATCCCCTGTTGACAGAGCCCATGCTCCCAGCCGCCATGGCCTCGTCTCCTTAACGGTGAAAGCTCAATGCATCCAAACATTAGACAATCGCCATCTGAAATTGCTGTCTCAGATGGTGTCTGAGCCATCCAGACTTGAAGTGTCTGTGCTGAAGGAACCTTGCCTCCCTATCATGGTAATCTGGCAGCTGGAGGTCCTAGGAGATGCAAGCCAGAACATCTGGAGGGCACCATTGGTTGAAAGCCACCTTATGGTAATCCTACACATCGGACCACTACGGTTATCCTCAGCATAAGATGGAGAAGGATGGCTGCCCAGTGGTGAGGCTTGGCATTTGGCTTCCAGAAGGTCCCAGGTACGATCCTCAGGGCTGGGAAGGCGCCTGTCTGTAGGGAGCAGCTGCTGGTCAGAGTTGGGTAACCTGTAGTCCTGCAGATGTGGTTGGCTATTGGCTATTCTGGCTGGGACTGATGAGCCAGCAACATCTGGAGGCCCACTGTGACCCCACCCCAGTGTAGGCAATTGGCCCCTTCCAGATGTTTTGAACAAAGCTCTCGTACCCTCCAGGCAGCATGGCCAGCAGTTGGGAATTGTGGGTGTTCTAGTCCAAAACATCTAGAATGAGAGGCAGCTCCGTTTTCCACCGGCACATGACCAGCCCTGCGAGTCCGAGTGTTGGAACTGACATGACGAAAAGGCTTTTTACAGATTTTCCCAATAAATGAAAGATGGTCTCTGGGGCACACAAATTCTTTTGAAGTGTAAATCTTACCTTACTTTTTCTCTCCTAGAAATGTTTGATCGTTGCATTTGGATGTTTAAAACTGAAAATGCTGACCCACTGAATTGGCAAAAGATTCTTGGGCTGTGCGCCTCTTTGTTTGCGCATCAGCCACGCTGGTGAATATGCATGAACGTTAGAATGATCTGCCAGGCCAGACAATTTGACAGATAACCCTGATCGTCCTAGAAATGCAGCACCTAATTTATATGGCACATTTTAGGGTGATAAATGCAAATATGGCCGAGATGAGAGAAGCACCATTGAAATTCAGGACACCAGGAGATTGAAATTAACAGTTTGGAGGAAGTGTTACTGAAACAGTGTTGGTTAGTCAAGAGCAGCATTTCATCGATCCTCCGCCTTAACCATCGATGTCTACAAGTGAAAGTCTTCGCGTTCTCACAGCAGCCAGTCTTGGAAGGTGCATGACAATTGTGTCTGTGGCATGCAGAGAATTGCATTTTTCAACTTGTGATGTGCCTCTGATTGATGATTCCTGGCACATAAGTCAGCTGCTTCTGCAGCGACGGTCCAGAGCAGTGGTTCTGTTGTAGTAGTTTTTTGTGCTGATGCCCATGGGGCACCCTGAGCAAGACCTGAGAGGTGGAGAAAGGCAGGTGGGAAGAATTTTCAACGGGAGGTCGAGTTGGCCCCAAGCTGTCCAGTGTCCAAGCCCTTTAAGGCTTTCAAGGCAGGAAGTAACACTTTGGATGGAGTCCACTAATGGACATAAAGCAGTGGGAATCAAGTAGAAGTCTAACCATGTACATTTCCCCATCTGTCCCAGACGGAGAATAGCATTTTGGACCATTTAAAGTTTGCAGAAGCTTTAAAAAAATTCTGATGCTTCCAAATGCTTCTGCAAATTCCGAAAGCACCTCTGTTACCCCTCTGAACTAGAACTGAGCCTCGTAGCTTCCAAATGTCTGATTTTGTTAAGACAAACAACCAGGGGACAATGCTGGCTGTGACACAGCAAAGCTTTCTGGATGGCCTACCAAAGGAAGATGGAAGAAATAGTGCGGAAGGAACTGTTGTGCGTTTCCATTGTCTTTAAGCAACTGATATCCAGAGTAGGGTTGGGTTGGTGTTTCTCTAGAAAAATGGGTCAAGACGACAAAAAGAGCCCGTGTGAGTGAGCAGATTTTTTGCAAGGTGTTGAAACTCAAACTGTCCGTTGCATATAATGGAAATAAGCTCACCTAACAGTGCTTCAGTTTTGTTTCCCAGGCTGTTCTTTTTTTTTTTTTTTCCTTCCCAGAAATCTAGTCACTGAATTATCAGGGTGTCATTCAAGGAGTCCCATTCACCCTTTAGAACTCCCATATGGATTTAAAAAGGTAAAGGTAAAGTTTCCCCTTGACATTAAAGTCCAGTCAGGCCTGACTCTAGGGGGCGGTGCCCATCTCCGTTTCCTGGCCGAGGGAGCCAGCATTTGTCCGCAGACAGTCTCCACGGTCGTGTGGCCGGCATGACTAAGCACCGAGATGCACGGAACGCTGTTACCTGCCCACCAAAGTGGCACCTTTTCATCTACTCGCATTTGCATGTTTTCGAACTGCAAGGCTGGCAGGAGCTGGGACGGAGCAACGGGAACTCACCCCGTTGTGCAGATTCGAACCAGCGACCTTTCAATCCACCAGTCCAGCAGCACAGCGGTTTAAACCACTGCGCCACCTGCAGTCCCCTCCCATATGGATTTGCTTACATGGTCATGAATGGCATCTGTGTGATGGGGATGAACTCAGCCAGGCAGCAGAGAAGGTCCTGTGTCCAAAGTTGAGGGAAGGATCCAGTCAGGAACCTTACACGGGGACAAGAAAGAAAAATGTGGGAAAGAAAAGGAAGAGTCCAGATGGCGGAATCTTCCTTCCCAAGTTCATGGAGCCGCCATTGTTTCATTGACCTGCTTTTGCATTTGAGAAGCCAGCCTGGGAGCCACAGGTGCAAATGGTTTCTGGAACATGCATTTTCAGGTGAAGTTGGGGGAAAGACCGGCCTCTGGGAGGCTGCTGAAGCTGTCGTCCGAACATTAAGAAGGGAGCGAGAGAAATGCCCACAAATCCTTTTCAAGCCCAGCTTCTCAGTTTAATGCAATTAACAGGATTTACATAATAATTTTCCTGAAAGTGATAGGTGGCTACTTCACACTTAATCTGTCATTCTCCTGGTGTTGTTTCACTCTGAAGCTAATTAAAACATAGAAAGAATTTTGGCCTGCAGCCGAGAGATCCGATGGGAACTCTGAGCGGAACCGGCAGTGAAGTCTCGCCATCCTAACGGGAGCATTTCTGATGCCCGTTCCAGCCAGCTTCAGTTTTTGCCCTCCTTATTTCTGCATTCTTCCTCCACCTGATGTTTCATGGGCGTGTACAGTCCTCATGGAGCTGCTGTGCTCTTCGGTTTCTCTAAAAAAAGGGTTTTGGGTTCCCAGAAGTAGCGGGTCCATTTTGGCTCCATCTCTGTCAGCACTCAACCACACTTTTTGCACTTTTTTGCACTTATTTTTACACATTTGCATTGCACTTTGTGCCACACCATTTTTGCGCAGTTTGAACTCTTCGCTTTTGTGCATTTTTTAACACACTTTGTCATTAGCGAGTGCAGTGGAGAAATGATTCTTTTGGATGCTGACATTGTCTCTTTTCCTTCTTCTCCGGCATCTCATTTTCAAACAAACCTTTAAAAACAAGCTACTTTGAAACATGCTTGGAATTCTTGGGGTTTAATACGGCTTAAAATTAAGCTTACAAAATTGCTAGAATATGACAACATGTATAGCAAGTTAAATGCAAGTTATTAAGTGCCCATGGAGATTGAAATCCTCCCCGGTATTTTCTGAGTATTACAAAGGAGGCACTTGCTAAAAGCAGGGTTGTATGTATGGATGCATATAGGATTCTCATTGCATTTCTGTCCTGCCATGTCTCTTTGTTTCAAGGATTCTAAGGTAGCTGGCACAATTCTCTTCTTCGGCACAAACCCTCAAACAGTTCATTATGTTTTACTATTATGATACCTTTAGTCCCTGCCTTTTCCTCTTGCTTGACTTACGAAGCTCTCCTTTTCTCCATTATCCTCATAACAACAACCTTGTGAGGTGGGTTCAACTGAGAGTCCATGACTGGCCCTAAGTCACCCAGGGAGCTCCATGGCTGAGCGGGGACTCGAACCGGCTCTCCTGGGTCCCAGTCCAGCACTTCCTGCACTGACTTAAGAGCTCTCCCTCACCTGTGAGCGGTCCGATGCAAAGCTCCTTCTATGCAGTCTGAACTGGGTGCCAGAGCAGCATTCACTCCTAACCTTCTCTTGAGGCTCACCCTCTTGTTCTGCAAGTTTTCATTTCCTTTGCACACCCCGTGAACATCTGCCGCGCTCAGAGCCCTAACCCCCTGTCCCGTGAAGCTCTTTTCCTTCCGTGAAAGTGCTGCTATGCTGCTCCGCGGATTGCTGCTTCTGCTGAAACCATCTATTTTGTTTGACAGTTGCACTATAAAATCGCTCCAGCGCCGTCACGTTTGCATCAGCCGCCTGGAAAGGCCTCAGAACTGGGGTGAGAACTCCTGCGAAGTGAGATTCGTCATACTGGTGCTTGCTCCTCCAAAAATGGTATGCTTTCGTATCGTTACAAGACCAGCTGGTATATCGTGGACCTAATTATATTTTTTGCAGGAATAAACAGATGCTGAGCTGTCTTTTCCACAGGGGACTAGGCTAGGATTCACCCTCCCCCTCGTTCAACCTGAGTTCATTTTCAGGGCTCTGAGACTGCATTCCAGAGGTAGACAGGACTGGAAGCAAGGGGACTGGGCCCATACAAACACCATGATGTAACTTAACATTGATATAGCAGGTAACTGAGCCTTATGAGGATGATTTCGGCCGTTTAAAGAGGAGAAAACAATGCAAAGGCTCGGGGAATCTGCCAATGAAGTGTCCTCGTAGAAACCGTTCCCCGCCGCCACCAAAAAGGCCCAGAGTCTTAGACCTGAGTAACTCATTCTACAGGCGATCCAGATGAGGCAGCTGCAGAGTGTTCATACTGTGTGTGTGAGCAGGCAAATTTCGGGATGTGCACCCGCTTTAGGAAGAACAATGAGACACCCTTCCTTGCATGTGTAACAGAACACTTCCTGGTGCGCCGATGCTCCGTGCAAGGGACCTTTGGTGGCATTTCCATCTTTGTGGGCTTCCCGGAGGCACCTGGTGGGTACGTGAGGAAGCCAAACACAAGAATGGAGCACCACCAATGCAGGGCCCGAATCCGGCCTTCTCGGGGCTCCCGCTTGGACCCTCCTGGCTTCCACAGGCAGCTGTGCCTCTTCCCCAGCTCCTCCCGCACCCTGACCACTGGTCATTTGAGGGCATCCATTCTGCTTCCTGAAAGGTTGAAAGGCCTCTGAAGGCTCGGTGGCTGGTGGGAGGCAGGTCTGTGTTAGTATTTTTGGCCTGAAGTCGTTCACCTTTGCCCCCACCCCCTCGCTGGGACGTGGCCCTCGGAGCTTCTTTGGAATGGAGTTGGGCTGCTCAGCGGGAAAAGGTTGGTCCCTGCTGGCGAGATGGACTGTTGGTCAGATGTGGCGTGTCTCTTGCCCTTCACCACCGTCACCTTCCATGTCAGGTAGAGAAGGACTCCCAGACCCGTGGAGCTGAAGTTGCAATCAGTGTGATTCACCTGTTGCAAAGGTAACTAAGTCCCGGTCGGGTTTTATAGGGCTGGATTGTCCAAGCGTGTGTCCTTCCCAAGGACTGCCATAAGACCAGATTTTCATTCTGCTTAAAACACGACATCCAGACTCAGTCATGACCCTGGTGCCCTCCAGATGTATCGGACTGCCACTGTTGCCTGGGGATGATGGGAGTTGCAGTCCGACACATCTGGGGGGCACCAGGCGGCAGTGCTGGTACACGTAGTACAGATCGCTCAAAAGATGGTGCTTTTTCCCCTAGAAAAGCACCAAAACTGCGACTGAAGTGGGCCGGACGTTTGCCACCATGTTCTCAGACATCACCTTTCGGCAGAAGCTTCTGGAAACGAAAACGGAGGAAGAGTTCAAAGAAGCTTTGGTGCACCAGCGCCACCTCCTGACCGTGGTGAACCAGCGGCCCTCGGCGGTGGCCGACGAGCACCGGGCGCACAGCCACAAGCCTCTCAAGGTGGGTGCCGCGGGGAGCCCAGGCAGGCCCCGGCCCGTGCCGCAGCTCCGGAGGCGGCAGGGCAGGGTGAACGGCGGGACGCCGAGGAAGGCCGGGCCCGGGCAGACCGGGCGGAGAAGCGTGGGTCCCCACAGGACCGCTGGCTTGGCCGAGCGCCCGGGACCGGAGCGGGCCTTGGGTGCCCCCTTGCATCCTCGCGGCAGCGCACGCCTCCGGCGCAACAAGCTTTACTGCCGCAAAAGCTTGAGAGGGGGTGGGACTGGATACCGAGGCGTGCACAGTGTGGGGAAGGGGAACGGCCTTGGGTCACCCTGTTGGGGGGAGATTTTGGACAGGGGAGGAGGAAGGTGTCTTCCCAGAGCACGTAGTCAGGCTGGGCTAGCGACGGCCGCGCAGTGCCATGGCTTTAACTTCAATTCGCCATTTGGACGAATTCTAAGGAAGTGGAGCGCACACGCTCCCAGGCGGTCAATCGCGTGCCCTGCAAATGCATTTCGGCTTTCCTGGCGAGATCTTCAGCTCCCGCCGCTCTCCATCTCACCTTGGCCTCCCCTGCCTGGTGAGAGCTTCTTTGCAGAGGAGAAGGCGGACCGAAAGCTCATCCCACTGAAGAGAAGAGATGCGGAGGTTGGAAGCAGCTCTGGTAGTGAAGACAGGCTGGACGGGAGAGGCAGGTGGCCAGGTGGCAAAGGGGAAGCGGGGGCCGGCGGGAAGCACTGCTGCAGCCAAGCGTAGCCTGATGGGTTTAAAGATGGGGCAGCTGCGTCTGGGAAATGTCGCGCCCACTGTGCCTTTCATCTGATGATGATAAAAGGGTTATATGCCTCGTACCATCATAGTAGATTAAAAAGCCAGGTATGTGTATCCTTTACAAAAGCTGAGGGGAGGGGACAGCTAGGAACAGGAATAACTGTCATAAGTGCAGGTTAGGGGACCAGTGGCTGGAGAGCAGCACTTGTGAAAGGGACCTCGGGTGCTGGTTGACTGCAGGCTGAACATGAGTCAGCCGTGTGGTGCGGTGGTCAAGAGGGCGAACGCCACCCTTGGTTGCACAGCCAGAAGTGTGCCTTCTAGATCAAGAGAGGTATTACTGCCACTCTATACGACTCTGGTGCACCCGCAACTGGAGTATTGTGCTCAGTTTTGGGCCCCTCATTACAGAAAGGATATGGCCAGGTTGGAGTCAGTGCAGCAAAGGGCCACAAGGTTGGTGGCCGGTTTGCAGGGGATGCCGTATGAGGCGAGACTGAGGGAACTGGGTCTCTTCAGCCTGGAGAAGGGGAGACTCAGAGGGGATCTGTTGACGACATACAGGTATGTGAGGGGATGTCACACAGAGGTGGGCAGAGACCTGTTCTCCCCAGCAGAGGAAGGCAGAATGTGCTCCAACGGAGCAAAGCTCAGGGAGCCAAGGTTCCATTTGGATGCCAGGAAGCACTTCCTGAGAGTCAGGACCCCGAGGGTGTGCAATGGGCTCCCACGGGAGGTGGCTGAGGCCCCATCGGTGAGGGTGTTCAAGGATAGGCTGGATGTGCACATGGTGGGCATGTCGTGAGCGGAGCCGGCTGGAGCCGGGGTCAGACTAGATGGCCTGGGAGGTCCCTTCTGACTCGCTCTGTTTCTGTGTTTCTATGACTCTTGACCAGGATAGGGCCTTCTCTCCCCTGGGCTTTAGAACTCTCTCCCCCGGATGGCCCAGTTGGTACAGAGTCTGTTTGTTTGCGGTCCAGGTCTCCACTTGCCCAGGTCTTGCAGGTGGATTTCTCTTTTTGCGTTGGCTCTAATACTGCATGGACTGTTGTGGCTTCATTTTTGAGCTTGACCAGGGGTGGGGCTACTTGAAAGGTGGCTTACACACAGAGAATTTTTATTAAGAATGTGGTTTAAGAAGCAAAACGGAAAGCTTTTTGCTGTCACCTGCTGTTTTAAGGGTGCAATCCAGTGCCTCCGCACTTGCTACACAGAGCTGTCACCGTCTTGGCCACCTTTTGCCTTGCTTTTCTTCCGGACCACGAAGTTACAAGGAGTGAGGAAAGAGCCCGGGGAGGCAACTGCATCCAGCATCAGCTGCCAGCCCCAGCCTCCCCCTGTAGCCCCCTCCCCTCCACTGACCCCTTTTCCTGCCATGCTGAGATCTCAGAGAGTCAGCGGGGATGGCTCTTCCCTAGCCAGCTGTTGGGGGTCAGGGCAGGGTCTTGGCCTTGAGAATCCAAGCACCGAGGCTGAAGGAACTCAGAGCTGGCACTCCAAGGGATCCTGTGCCCCACCCTGACAATGTTGGGATTCTGGGAGGCCAAAGGACCGTGCACACCAGAAGTTCGCTGGCTTGCATTGCCTGGGGTCTTGTGCACACCTCACTGCTAACTCAGTGCTAGGACTGCCCTTACTGAGCGAAGGTGTAAAGCCTGCAGGTGGAGCAGACTTGGATTCCAGTCCATTGTCAGCCATGAAGCTTTCTGTGTGGCTTTTGCAGCGCTGGCACCCTCTCCATCCCTGCCCCGTAGGATTGGTGCAAGAGCAAAGAAAACAGGACAGTGAGTGCTTTGTCTACTGACAACTGGAAGAGAAATTACAGGCTGTGCTTGATACAAACAAAGCTCATTTGACCCTCGTATGTCAGCGAGTGCTGTCATGATCTTGACAAAGTCTGTGTCCTTGTATGGATGCATTAAAATGCATAAGAATCAGACACTGGAAGGGCAGTGTGCGCATCCCTGCCCCCTCCCGGAAGCAGACGCAGCAGGAGAAATGCTCGAAATGCTCGGAGAGGAGACCTAGAGTTTTGCTTCTGCTTTGCAGTTGAATGTACAGGAGACTTTCCGTTTGCACTTCTTAAGCATGGCTCGATCGTGTGCTTGATATGGTGAATATTGAAAAAACACTGAAGGCATAGTAAGAACTGCTGTATACCCAAGAAATCCATTCCCAGTCCTTCATAATACCTCACCTTTACATATCGACTCCTAAAAGGTTTTTGTTTTCCATTAAGCCCAAATGCAGCCTTCAAACTTAGGAAGTCACGATGCATTCATTAGAGTCCTTTCCACTTTGAACACAAAACTGATCAAAAAATGCATCTCCGTTATAAATACTTAAGTGCTGGCATCAGGTGCGCCTGGGGGAGTTTGCATGCAAGGCTAAGCCAGGATTTAAGGTTGCACACAAGCTGAGCCGAAGCTCTTGCTCCGTGGTCCCCCACCTCCTCCTCCTGGGCTTCAATTCCCTTTGCAGCAAAGCCAGCCTGTCCTTCCATTCAACCCAACAACTGCTTTTTTAGAACAAACTCTGCTTTGTTTCATACTAAACCAACTGTAAACCATGGACTGTTTAGCTGGTTTGTTTAACAGACCACTTTGTTTTGAAGAATACTTTCTAGTTTGAAGAAAACAGGCTAGAAAATACCCAGGTTTCTTTACTATGGTTTACTGTGTGACTTGGGACCAGGGTACCTGAAAGATTTTCTGCTCCCCTGTGAATCTTAAGATCTTTGGGAGAGGCACTTCTTTCAAGGCTACCTTCTGAGGTGTGCTTGGTAGTGATGCCAAGGACATCCTGTGGACCTGCAGGGTCCTGAGAGAAGACCCCTTGCCTTTCCTCCAACTTTCTGTAAAATGGCCTCAAAGAAAGGCAGAGATGTGGGTGTTGTGTATCAGGACAGAGCTTGGTTGAAAGTTGGTCTTCATGCTCAGGGGAACTAGAACTGAGGGAAAAAGGATCCGCATTATACACAGAAGGAAAAAATATAAACAACGGTGAGAAAATGAGAGTGTCACACAACTCCATTGTTCACACAGGCAGAGTCCACGAAGGAGCCAGGGTTTTCTGCAGGGCTGACTTGGTGATCTTTGTGAGTGCTGCCCTCAGATAGAGAGAGCTCAAACCACAACGGAAAGATTAAAAATAATTCACTTTTCACATTTTTGTTTGGTCAGTCATCTGGTGTTTATGGCCTATTTTCAGGAATTGGCTGCAAAGCATATTTAACTTGGTCATATTTAACATGGTCATGTAAGCCATCCCCGTGCAAAAGATTTAATGTCCGAGGGAGGCAACTCTGCAAAGGAGGCAGATCAGCACCCGTGAGCGGGGATTTCTGAGCACGGCAAAGCCAGTTTCTCTCTTCTACAAGGCATCTTTTTATTCTGAATGAACAACCGGTGCAGCTCTTGGTGTCTTCCCAGGGGGTGAAATAAAGCATGCCTTTCCCATTTTTCTCGACTTAAAAGTTTGGATGTTGGGAGATGACCAGAAGGCACAGACAACTTGACTCTTGGCCTGTGTGCTTGCAAATGAAGGGCATACCGGGGTTGGGGTCGGGGTTACTTTTACTGTGCAGGTCACCTTTGGATTGTGCCGAGATGAGCTGGCTATTTTGAAAAGCCGTCCGTCTAGAAATTTCCAAGTGCATTGTTGTCTTACTTAATGACTCTAGCAAATAACCTCTTAAAAGAAAGTCTTTTGCTGCCTTGGTGCAAGCTCTCTCTTTCCCGCAACAATAGATGAGCACTTTTGAACTGGAATAACATTTCCTTCCTTTCTTTAAGCTCCACGATTTCTTCAATGTTGGCAAGGGAATTTTTGATGACATCGCACGAAGATTTCCAGTGTACGCGCTGGACTTCACTGACGGTAGGTGAGCAATTGTTTATGGAAACACCGGCCTGCTTGGCGTCCTCACAGAACCGTGTCCTGTTTATGGAGAGCTCCCTGGGGATCACTGCAGCGGCTCTGTCGCTTCAAAGAAAAACCGGCGCTGGTGGGTGCATGGATGGGCCCAGTGTCCTCTGCCACAGCTGGCGTTTTGCACAACCGCACTGGTCTAGCGCTGGTGGATTGTGCAGAGATAGGTTTTTATGCACAAGAAGAGTGTGGCGGGGCTTTCTGTGTGGGAAGGAGACCTAAAAGTGTCCATATTATAGTCGTGTTGTTGAAATGAGCACTGTCTTGGGGAACCCCTGTGCCTCACCAGCCATTCTCTCCTGGAACTGGCACACCAATAGCCACTCCCTCAAGTGGCACACTGCTTGAGCACACGACTCCCTTTCCCCGGAGTAAGAAACCCCCCTCCAGAAGAGGCTGCTCCAGAGGGAAGTTCTGCTTTGGCTGGCCCTTAAATCTGCAAGTTACCTGATTCACCTACAGGCCTAAAGGGGCAGGGGTGGGGGGAATACCCTTCCGAGTGCGCTTGGCTGTTTCGTGACTGGGGAGCGCTTTCCCGTAGTGGGTGGCAGAAACAGCCCCTCCCTGGAAGGCACTGTGTGGGGCGCTCGTTTTCACCCCACCCATAAAGCGTGTTCTTATCAGGTCATGGAAGGCTGCCATTCTTGTCGCGCCGCATGTAGCCACCTTGGATTTGGTGGGGGGCAGGGGGGGGGGTCCACAAGCAACCTACTGATTTCTGCATGCATGCACGACTCCATATCGCAAGCAAAATCCTAGAGGTGCATTTAAAACACCTGGACTGGGGAGGCGAAGGCTGAGAAAGAGTTGGAAAGGCACAGTTTCTCTCCCGAAGTGGAAGTCCAAGGCTTGCTTTTCTACGGTGCAACTCAAAGGCACCGGCCAAGAAGCGGTCTCTAAGGAGAGGTGCGTAGCTTGACCTTGTGGGGGGGGATAGAGTGCGTGAGGGGTCGGACTCAGGTGAGCAACTTGTGGCATGGTTTTCAGAGCACTCAGTGGGGAGGGGTGTCCCTTCCAATGTTGATGGGCTTCACGTCCCCTCACGCCTCAGGACTGGCTATGCTCGCTGGGGCTGATGGGAGTTGCAATCCACCAAAACTAGAGAGTCACGCAGGCCCTGTGCCCAGTTGGCACGGACTTGATACCACCTGCACAATCAGAAATTAGCACCTTTGTGGCAGTGGCTGCCCAGAGCGGCCGTGTGGAGAAGGCAGGTCCCCCTCGGTGCCGTGCACTCGGGGGCACACCGTGGGGACGGGCCGGTAGGTTGGTGTCCTGGCCAGAGCGTTCCAGAGGTATTTGGATGGCCATTGTGGCAAGACGGGACACTCGCTATATGTTTGGTCTGAAGCAGCAAGGACTCCTTTCATTCCGCTTATCTTATCTTATTTTGTTTAGTCAGCTGTTGGGTGCAAAGACCACGAGTGCCTCTCGCCTGTATTTAGTCATGCGGCTCTCTCTGTCAGCATTTCCGCAGGGCCAGTCCATAAACTTCCCTTCTTCATCCCTTGCCTCGATTGTCCGGGGCAGATGCTTTCATAGCGATGGTTCTGAATCGGCACTGGATAAATGGGATGGAAGGATGGGAAAGTGGCGTCCCACAAGGGTCTGTCTTGGCCCCAGCACTTTTCAACTTGTCCATAAACGATCCGGAATTAGGATTGAGCAGTGAAACAGTCGGGTTTGCTGACGACACCGATGTATCCAGGGCAGTTCAAATGGAAAGGGATTGCAGAGAGTTCTAAAAGTCTTCCAAACTGGAAGAATGGGCATAAAAGTGGCAAAGAGTTCATGTGGGAGGGAAACATCCCAGCTTCGAATACAAGCTGGCCGGGACGGATCGAGGAAGAGATGCTGGAACTGCAGGCTGATGACGGAGCCATGTGGGGTGCAGCTGCCATGAAAAGGGCAAATTCCAGGTGAGAAAAGGAACGGAAAGTTGGACTTCCAAGCTCATTCTGTGCTCATCAGATCTGTAGCACCAGCTGTGCACCTTTCTGGTCACTGCCCCTTGAAGAGTTGGGAAAAGCAACCCAAGTGATCCAGGGGCTGGAGCAGTTTTCCCGTGAGGAAGGGCTCCAGGGGTGAGTACAAGGATGCATCCAGGGAGGCCCGGCACCGGTGTACAAAATCCAGAACGGTGTGGACAGGGAGGGGTTTCCCTCTAGAACCTGCGATTGTCCCATGAAGGCCAATAGCAGGAGATAGAAACAGAAGAATTTCTTCATGCAGCATGTAGTTCAACAGGGAAATTTGCTACAAAGGTGCAGTGATGGTCACCATCTTGCCTGACGGTAAATTCCTGGAGAAGGCTACTAGTCCTCATGGTAATGTGCCTCTCGCAGTGTCAGAGGTGGGATGCACCAGCTGCTGGAGGACACGGGCAGGAGCCTTGTGGGTTCCCCATGGGCAACTGGTTGGCTGCTGTGTGAGCGGCCTGCTGGCCCAGAAGGACTCTTGTCCTGATCCGGCAGTGAGGCTGTTCTGAAGGAGCAGGTCCCAATGCCTTCTCAGTCGGGAGTGACAGATGGAGGGTTTTTCCTGCTTTTTGCCTCGCGGCGATCCATTCTTAGGAGCCGCTCATCGGCGGAAATAGCAGTAGGAACAATTTAATGCCTGGTCTGCTGGAGGCAATAATTTCTTCTGTAAATGAGACATTTATCTCAGGAAAGCGGCCGTTTCATAAATGTCTGGAGCAGATTGTGGCGCACATGCCTGCGATACTTTCTCGACACTTCCCTTGATTGATCGCCCTCGCGTCGCTCTTTTCCTCTGGGATGCTCGGAGCAGCTTCGGCGGGGCTCCAGGCAGTCTCCCGCTTCCTCGCTGCCGCTGAGCAGAGGCCTGGTGGTCCTCGAAAGCACTGCGGAGAGCAAACGGGGCAAGGTGGATTTTTAACAGATTGCCGGGCAGGGAAGGGACACGCTCCGGCCTGTTGCCTCGGGAGTGGTTGCCCGTGCAGTGCTTTGCCTCTTCTTGTTGGCCTGAAATTCAAATTAGAAGCCATCTTGAGAGTTTCTACAAACAGAATAGACGGTATAGCAAATGTCTAAGTGGAATGAATAAAAGGTATGCGAATGGACGTTGTAGGGCTCTGAACTGGGAGCGAGCCACCCGTGGTCTCGTCTGTGCTGCCGAACTGCAAGTCCCATCAGCCAGCCTTAGCCTGTGCATAATGACGGGGGCTCCAGTTTTGGAGGTTTTGGTCTCCAGTTCCCAGCCTTCCTAACCACTGGCCAGGCTGTCTCGGAAGCGAAATCCAAAACTGCTAGAGGACGCCAAGTTGAGGAAAATCAGGTTACAGGGTTCGGTTTTATGTGCTTATTTCATCGGTGCTGGTGCAGCCGCCTCTGTGAGCGGCCGTGTTCGTCATGCCTGGCACTGGGTGGCTGCTTGGCTGCTGGGTTTGTTATTTCAAGGGTTCATAAAAGAATTTAAAGGCTTCTGTTTTGGGTTCTAGGAACAAGGGGCAGCTCTGTGCATTTGCAGCTTTGCTTGTCTCCCAGAGGAGAGACAAAGCGGGACATTGCAGGCTACGCAGAGCAGAAGTGTGGCTCTTTCAGTCGCTCCCCAGACGTGGTGGATGAGGACTAGCTGGGAGATCCTGGGAGCGTGTCCAGCGCATGGGAAGGGCACCAGCACCATGCTGGAAAAGGCTTCCCTGGAGGCGACAGTCCTCGTCGGCCACCTGGAAGAGGGCCTCGTTAGTGGTGGCCCCCGTTGTCCAGCAGGCTTCCCACTGAGGCCCACCTGGTGCTAAGCTGGCTACCCTTCCAGGGCCAGGTTAGGACCACCTCTGTACTGAGGCATTTTATGGCATTTGGGGGCTTCTAGTTTCTAGAAGATGGGGGACTTCTAGTTTCTTCTAGAATGTAAGCCGTCCCGAGACATTTATAGTGAACAGGTTAGAAAGGCTTTTAATAACTAAATAAAATAGTTTCCAGTTTATTAAATGCATTTAGCTTCTTTGATGGGTGTTCAGTTCTGTTTTAAAAGTGTATTTGGATTTTCTGCTGTTTTCACTGGGCAGAGAGCTTCAGGTGTTGGGTGGTATATAAAAGAAGACTAAGAGCGATGATGACGATGCCTCCGGCATCCAAAGCCATGCTGCTCAAGCAGCGGTTTCTCTTGCATGCCCCGTTTGTGGCCCTCCCGCCGGGCCAGGTGGGACGAGGGCAGCCGGACCATCAGGCCTCTGCTCCGATCCAGCAAGGCTCCGAGTACCTCCTTGGTATCAGATTGCTTACAAGTTCATCCTCATTTCTCAATTTCTGAGCCACCCCCCTCAGGAATTCCTTGTTTTTAAGCCTTCCCTCCCACACACCCCTTTGCCCCATGCACGCACCCACGGAGGATAATCGGAAACAATTCCAACAAGCATCCCGCCCGTAAGCAAGGAACCGGCCTCTGCCTGCCCTCGTCACTCGTGTGCAAGGGCAGACTGCATGCTTGGAATGTTTGTTTCTCTTCAGAGCTGTGCATGTGTGTTTTCTCTGGAGCCAACATGCCTCTCGTCTGACGGGAATTGCTGGGAGGGAAGGGCAAGCGGCTCTCCAGCCCCTGGAATCCTGCAAGCGCTCTGCTTATTTTCCCAGGTTCTGCTTCCTTGCCCCAGAGCCTAGTCCTTTCCTTAAGAAGAAGACTGGGGGAGGTCCCACACTGGCTTCTTCAGCTTTTCCCAGGCAGTCCTTCTGCAAGGAAGAGGAAATCCTTCATTCTGGCCCTCTGCTCTGCGTTTGTTTACATACGGGAGCAGAACAAATTCCCTCTCCCTCCTGCCAGTTCCAGGCTGGATCCTGGAAGACTTGCCATATGCATGAACCAAAGCATGCAAGGACCAATCTGCATCCCCCCCAAAAAAAACCCTCATCGCGCTTTAGCACCACTCTGATGTGTCTTCATCTCTGCAGCGGGGAGATAAAAAGAAATTTGTTTTTTGTCCAGGGAAACAAGCCCCGGGGGCGGGGGGGGGGGGAGCTCCTGCAAGGTTCTCTGTTGTATGTTTTTCCTCTGGAAGTTTCATCATGCCTCTGGCTAAGCCTTCTCTTGGGACGCGTGGCCCCCTGAGGCTCACTGCCCGGGCAACCAGCTGCTCGGGATTTGGTGCTGCTCATGTTTCCCTGGAGAGAGCTGATCATACCTTTAAAAAAAAATACTCCGCAGGTTTGAACTTAGTATATGAAAGCGCATGCAGCTAGAAGGCAAACCAGTCTTTTCAAACCATGCTTTGAGTTAGAGCTGGCCTTCTAATTTAGGTTTCCCAGGTATGTGCCTAGTTAGCAGTTAGCATTAGTCCGAACGAGCGATACCTCTGCATTTTGTCATTCATCATTCATTGCGCGCAGAATTACAGCAAGCCTGGATATGTTAGGAATTTGCTATGAAGTTTGGAACTGAGTACAAGGTTTAGAGTGTGTACATTAAAGTAGTGCATGAATTCTACCCCCCCCCCCATAAATTTTCAGGCATCCGAACACCTGGACTGCCCACCCCCAAGCCAAAACTTACTCAAAGCGGCCTCATTAACAGCTTTCCCCTGTTCTTCCCACCTCTCCAGCTTTGGGTGGAGGTGGGATTGGGCCTGGTGGTCCCATCTTTGTACCACCCACCGCCGGTAATGGCAGGTAACCAGCACATGACGCCCACGTGCAAGGAGGCCACGCGTGCACAGCTAGTGAGAAAGGGGACGCTGAACAGGGCGACACACAGTGCCTGTCGTGTGACTCCAGACTGCCGCTCTCTGCATGCACGGAAGCCCAAATGCGCCAAGCAAGAGTCTGGATTAGTGGCGAATTCTTGCCTGAGCTCACGGGGTGCATTTGTTCATGTCTGAGTAAATTACTAATTTATTCAGGGCAACAGCGCCCATCACAAGTAATTGCAATTAGCATTTAACCTTTAAAAACAAAAAACAGCGCATCTCTTACATACATTTGCCTGATAATCTAATCTGCAGCTATTGCAGCAGGGTCTGAATCTGTAATGCGGGGGTGGGGGGCGGGGGGGGGAGCTCGCAGGTGTGACAGAAGCCAGGCACAATTTAGGGAGCTTCTAGATTGACAGATTGTAAACAGCAGCAAGCAGGAAGTGGCTGTAGGAAGAGGGCTTGCCGGCCAGATGTGCAACTAGAGAGCATCTGATTTCTATATTTATTTTATTTCATTTCGTCAAACATGTGTATGCCGTTTTATTTAATTGTTATTTTAAAAATTAGTATTTTTTATCATTTACAGTCGCTTTTATTTATTTGGTTTTGATGGTATTTATTTGTTTTCTGGTTCTGATACTTGTATTGTATTGTCTCACCAATTGTTTCATGGTTTTGCTTTTAACTATCTAAGCCGTCCTGAGACGGGATAGTGAAGGACGGCATACAGACGTTTTAAATCAATAAACAAAATACTGTCCATCCGCCTAGATGGCTCCCTGGATGGTTTCCGGTGCATCTTTTGATGTCTTTTTCTCTTTATTTGTGACCTCTGATGCTTCTGTGTGCTTGAGATGCCTTCCGACTAGCCACAGCCCCCGAACCTATTTGTGGGTGGCCGCCATTTTGCCTTGGCATGGCTTGGCACCGCCCCAACCAAGATGGCTCCTTGGGGGAATGGTGCCACCTTTCTTCCCCCGGGGTGGCTTAGTGCTCCATAGGTCTGTCCCTTGTATGCTAGCGCTAGGGCTGACTGAACGCCGGTCCCGAGGGAATTGTTTCTCACGCCGCTCTTTGGGCTTTGTTTTAGGCGTTATTGGCAACAACAAAGCCATAGGGAAATACATCACCACCATGATCTTTCTGTACTTCGCGTGCCTCCTGCCGTCCATCGCGTTCGGCTCCCTGAATGACGAGAACACAGACGGGGTCATCGGTGAGTCTGCCTTGCCCCCTTTCCCTGGGACTTCTCCTCGTGGCCTCCATTTACTTGTGAGTAAGCCTTGTGACTAGTTGTATGCTAAGAGTAAGAAGAGCTGTAGCTACTGAGCAGAAGGGACTGATGGGAGTGGGTGTTCCCAAGCGGCGGCTTAGGTTTAACAAGTGCAAGATTTGGCCAAATCCTTCTTTGAGGAGGTACAGCACGCTCCCCAAAGGGTGAAAATCTCGGGAACCCAAAGGAGAGGTTAATCGTAGCATGTAGTTGCAGCCTTTTGAAGGCTCTTTAAACTAAATAGCACTGCAGTTTGAGGAGGAAGAAGCAGGGTGACCTGGTAGATTTTTCCTCTCATTCCCGAACGCGTGCTCTGTAATTCTGCCCGATGTGGCATGGCCCGCTCCCACAGAAGTAGCCCAGTTTGAACAGGGTGGCTGAGTCGAGCACAGATTGCGCAGCTGTGCGTGGTGGATCACGCCCCTCGGCCGGTCCATGGTGGTTTCACTTAATGCAGATCTCTTTCAGCAGGAATTCGGTTTTGGAGACCACATCTGCTCACGCACCCTCCCCTCCCCTCCCCTTCCCCCACCATTTTTTTTCCAGATGTGCAGAAAACCATCGTGGGCCAGTGCATTGGCGGGCTTCTTTACGCGCTCTTCTCGGGCCAGCCGCTCGTTGTTCTCCTCACAACCGCACCTTTGGCACTGTACATCAATGGTGAGTCGGGGCTTGCTTGCGTTCATGTGTCTCCAGGTTCCAGACCATGAAAAGTGGCACCTGCGCATGTTGGGCACTGCACGTCCTATTCTCTCCTTGCTTCTCCCATTCTCTTTCTTGCCCACCCGCCTTTCTATGCTCAGAGTCATGTTGCAGTAGATCGTGGGAAGTGGGAATAAATGGGAATTTCTCCCAGTGGAGGTGTTTAAACATTAGAATCCCACGTCAGGATATTAGAACTGATATGACCTATTAGAACTGACTCTTTTTGACTTGTTCATTAAAGATCTGGAATTGGCCGTGAGCCCTGAAGTGGCCGGGTTTAACCATGCTGCCAAACTATTTAGGGTGCTTAAAACCTAAGTGGATTGTGAGGACCTACAAAGGGATCTCTCCAAACTAGGAGAGGAGACAGCGAAATGGCGAACGCAGTTCAGTGTAAGCAAGCGTTGGGGCAAAACACTGCAGCTTCAGGTATAGATTGATGGGATCTGAGCTCACAGTGACTGAGCGAAAAAGGGACAACTCGATGAAAATGTCCGCCCATTGTTGGAGAGAACATGGGTAGGCCTTTGAACACCTGTTGCTGGGGAACATGGGCACTCACACCCTGCTTAGGGGCCTCTCCACTGGGCTTCTGTGGAGAGGCCACTGGCTGGAACCCTGGTGCCCCCCCCCCCCCGTCTGATCCACCCTCAGGGCTTTCCAGTCCAGCTTTAACTCTTCAGCCCCCTCCACAGTTCTGCCTCCGCCTGCTGTGGACTCTTATTTCCAGGTTGGAGCAGTGGAGAAGGCGAACTCGCACTGCAGAGCATAAGAATTTTACTCCATTCACAAGCGCCTTTGAGCAAACCTTGCTCCTGAACTGAATGTGAATGTGTGGAGAAAATGTTAGCATCTTTGAGGAATCTCACCCAATTTTTAAACAGGGCATTTTTCAAACTCCACTGAGTGGGAGCGTGAGGAAATGTTTGCTTTAGGCGCAGCTTTAAAAATGCACTGAGGAGGAACTTCAGCAAGCTTAAATGTGGCCCATCCCTCATGCACGGGGACGGCAAATGTTGGAGCTGATCTCTGCGTGCAGCAGGATCCTGCAGTCCAGGGGTTCCTGCAGTGTTCAGCAGGGGAGGGCAAGCTGCGGGTCGTATGCGTGCTCCTTGGGGGTCGGGGGGATTGCCTGCCTGCCTGCCTGCCTGCCTGCCTGCATGGGGAAAACTAGTGCATCTGTTGAAGAGTTCCACACTAGCCGTCCCTGCAGTGTGCAGAGTTTCTTTGTGCGGAGAACAGATGGCGGGGTGAGCTCGTGACAGGGCAGAACATCAGCAGTTCATCGTTTGATCATAATTCTGATCCACTTCCCGTTGAGCGTCCAGCTTCAGGTTTCTTTGCGGCTTGTTCTCGTGACCGTTTTGTTGTGTGCGAAAGTCTTCCCCGTCAGATTGTTCGCTTCCTGCTTTGCTGCATGTATAACCCGCCAGGGTGCTCTGTGGGATCCTTCTCTCCATTTTATCCTCACAACAACCCTGCGGGGCAGTTTTTTGCTGGGAGTCAGTGGCTGCCCCAGGTCACCGAGTGGACCTCATGGCTCAGTGGGGGCTAGAACCGGAACCTCCTGAGCGTGGTACGCTAACGAGGACAGCTCACTGTCACCATTGGCTTTCGCGTGGTGCATGTTTCCCCTTCAGCATGTTTCCCAGAGGACAACCTGGCATGCATCCTATGCAGATATCCTATAGTAGAGAAGCTGGATTGCTGCACAAGACAGGAGAGTCAAGAGACTTTTTGATCGTTGCAACCCGTATCTGGGAATATTTCCCCAGCTAGGCAAAAAAAAAAATTTCCTGGTCCTCTTAAATTTGCTACAGTCTCTTCAGTCTCTTATAAGCTCTTGCCATTTATTCTGTCCTCTTGCATTTGGATCTTGAGTTTGTCTTAGTGGCATCACCGTTTATTGCAGTGTCTTATTGTTGAGATTTGAGGGTTTGAGGCCCCTTTGTTTCTGTGTTTCTATGAATTTAAAAACTTGTTTTGTTTTCATCTTCTCGGGCACTCTGAGAACACCTAGTTCTAGGATGACCTATAAGTATTGTTAATCAATAAACAGATCTGGCCCTTTTTTCTGCGAGCACCATGGGATTCCCCAGCCTGAGCCAGGTGGAAGATTGTAGCTTTAAGCCCCAGCATCACTCGGAGCTTTCCATGGTGCTGATCTCTTCTTGTTTCCCTGAGAAACCTGAATTAACCTGAGCTGACCCCTGCTTCAGCTCCAGCCACGCAACCAAGGCTGCCTCGCGGAACCGGCAGGCTGAAGCGGCACACGCCTGTGGGCTTCCTCTTGTCTTTTTGGCAAGCATCAAAAACACTTGCATTCTAACAGATTTTTGCCCTATTTTAGTTCGTTGTTTTAGTTTAGTTTTATTCAGTTTTGTCTCGGCTTGTTTTCAGTAAACTCTTACTTATACAATTTTTTTGATTATTCTGCTCAATAATTGAAGCTCTTTCGGGGTAGAGATGTTAATTTTACAGATTTTATTTGCTGTAAACAGCTGTGGGGGGGCCTTTCCGACCTGAAAAGTGGTCGATTAAAGTTGATTCTATAAAAACTGCAGATCACCCACAAGTCTGCAAGTGGAACCCAACCTTGTTTTCCCCATGTTGAATGTGGTGGATATGGCATTGGTTTTGAAACAGGGAGGGCCAGGTTCAAATCCTGGCTCAGCCATAAACTGTACTGGGCGTCTCTGGACCTCCACAGCCAAACTCTCTCATGAACCTCTTGTGGGATAAATTGAGGATGGATGACGACGACGACATTACATTTCTGTGCCACCCATAGCCGAAGCGCTCTGGGCAGTTTATCACATTGCAGTCACCCATCCAGATTTCGACCAAGCTCAGCCCTGCTTAGCTTCCAAAATTATTTATTTATCCTTCCATCCATCCATTCAGTTTATATGCCGCCCCACTAACCATGGGCTCTCTGGGCAGCTTACAACATACTAAAATCCAACAACATAAATCAGTTCAAGCATAACATAAAATTTGCTACAAGGACCAATGATAGTCACAATAAAAACAGTAAATAAATTAACAGAATTAAGACCAAAATAGGAGAAGAATAGAATTAATAAATACTGAATACTATATGTATATATAAAACCCGAAAATAAAGCATAAAGCTTTAAAATGAAACGTAAATCTCTCTCCTTTGCAAACATGCCCCATTGGGAGCAGCGTACAAATAGCATTGTTTGTTAGGCGGGACTGGCACATGAGGCTTTGCCCAGACGGCTTGGAGGGAAGCGTGGAGAGAAAATGGGACCCACAGCCGTTTTCCTGACAGGGGGAATGGCAAGTACGACCCTGAAGGACTGCCTTGCAAATGAACCTGCCGTTACGTGTTAGTTTCAGATTTGCTTCTGGACGGTTTTCTGTGGGAACTACTTAGCAAGGCCAAAACCATACGCATTTGTGTGGATGTGTGAGAGAGTGTGACAGTATTGTATATTGGTTAGAGTAATGGGCCATGGCTCCAGTCTCCACTCAGCCATGAAGTCCACCGGGTGACTTCGGGCCAGTCACTGATTCTCAGCCTAGCCTACCTCACAGGGTTGTTCTGAGGATAAAATGTAGTGGGGGTAGACCACCATGCTTAGTTCCTGGCAAGGCAGGAGAAAGCAGGATATAAATGTAATGATAAATAAAATAAATACATTCTATTTATTATATTTCTGTGCTGCCTGTTCACCACAGTTTTCCTGATGGCTTGCAGGCCACACATTCCTCTTTGGTATGTCTGCGCACATTTCCAGCTGAACACACGTGGGCCAAGCAACAGAGAGCTGGCACTGTTCAGTATGCCAGCCATGTCTTCTTTTGGGAAATGCCGTTCCGTTCTGCCCACGTATCCGCTCCCCCTCCAATAGCACTGAGGAAATTCGTCCCTTATTCCCACTCAAGCTTTGCTGTCTAAAGTGTTTCTGTTCCTCTCCAGCCTTGGGTGTCCGAACAAGGCTGCTTGCGCCTCCTTCTTGTGCATGGTGACTTTCATGTATGCATGCGATGTTCTCTTTGTTTTCAGTGATCAAAGGAATCTGCAGCGACTACAACTTGAAGTTCAGTGCTTTCTACGCCTGGGTTGGGCTCTGGAACAGTTTCTTCCTCATGCTGTACTCCCTCTTCAATTTCAGTCTTGTCATGAAGCTCTTTAAAAGGTAACACTTCTTACTTTTCCAGCTGTTGGGAGCTACTGGAAGACCCCCTCCCCTTTGGTGCTAATTCTCCAGGAGTGGGTGGGCCGGACAGTGCTGGGAGGGGCTACTCGACTGTGGAAGAAAATGAGTTGAAATTAGGGAGGATCCCTCATTGTTTCCAGTATCACCTCATGAGGACTAGCAACCCTTCCACAGTTTGAAACTGACGTTTCATTCACACAGTGGGGAGGAGTTTCTCCACCTGCATTAAAACAGGAGAAATCCAAATCCCTTTGCAGCTGCCTTCTAAATTTGGGGAGAAATGTCATTGATCTGGATGGATGTTGCCAAATACTGCCTTATTGAGATTCTCTAGGAAAGTACAGTCAGTCTCTTTCGATTAAGCTTTGTCCCAGTTGATGTGAGGAAACAAGCAGGATATCAAATAGTATTTAAAGGGTCCCAAATGCTGCCTTTTTGCAGCTTATTCTGCCATCTCTTAAATGCACGTATTCTGCCAACTTAGGATTTGATCCAGTGTCCCTTTTGCGTGACGCACACATGTCTCCAAACGCAGAGGCGCGCATGCATGCCATGCGAGATGCAAGGGTGTTTCCACTCTTGCGCACCTCACGTCCTGCATTTCGTGTAGGGAGCCGGTTTCAGGCATCCAGGTGGAACCCTATGGAAGGGAGCCAAGGGCACTGCCTGGCCGTGACATCAACCATCACCCCCCCCCCATCATCCCCAGCCACCCTCCTCCTGGCAACCCCCTTCAGGCCTCAGGGAGGCTGATTTCAAACACCGCAGAGGCAGTCAGTGCGGTTTACGCATGCACATGGTAGGCGTGTCTTGAGCGAAGCTGGTGGAGCCGGGGGTCAGACTAGATGGCCCAGGAGGCCCCTTCTGACTCACTCTGTTTCTGTGCTGTTTCAGCATGAGCTGCAAGGTGGTAAACAGGCCCTTTGGAGGCCTGCCTCTGCGGTTAGCGAACGTCCGTGCCGGGGCTCCGACTGGTAGCCACACGCTGTCAGGAGGCTGCGTGATTTTGCCCTAGGCCCCCTCTACCATCTTGCAGCCTTAATGGCACCTTCCTTCCAAAGTGGGCAGAGGCTGCAGCGGCCCGGGGTGCTGACGCGTCTCTGCGTGTGTGTTTTGCAGGTCAACAGAAGAAATCATTGCTCTCTTCATCTCAGTCACGTTTGTCCTCGACGCCCTGAAGGGGATCACCAAAGGTCAGCCGGGGGCCCTGCCTCTCTCGCTTGGGTGGGGGGCAGGACGACGCAGCCGGGTTCGCGGAGCACAGCTTGAGTGCAAGGGAGGGTCTCCAACCCTGACAGTATATTGCGATGACAGACCGGGACGAGCTTGGGGAGCTGCTTGTGAAGGCTTGCGTGCAGGTTGTGTGGCTAGGAAAGTAGCCGGCATTTGGCCTTCCTTCTGTGGGGCCGATGAAGCCTAGTGCTGGTCCCCATGGCATGCGGTGGCTCTGAAGTGTTACTCATGTTGTTGTTGTGGTTGCTGCATTCGAGTAGCAAGAAGGGGGGAGCCCTGGACTGAATACAAGCGGAGGGACCGTCTAGGGCAGTGGTGGCAAACCTGTGGCACGCAGAGCCCTCTCCATCAGCATGCGAGCCAGGTCGCCCCAGCGTCGCCCCAGCAGCCGAGCATCGGATAACAGCGCACAAAGCTACTCCGGGAAACCTTTTTCAAAATCAAATTATTTTCTAAGGTGTTTTACTCCTGTATTAGGGTTACGCTTGTGCACCAGGGTAGGGTTAGGGTTACAAAAACGAGGTGTCCTGGCATGATTCTGATGGTTGGAATGTGTGTAGAATGGGCAGAAATGTTGAGCTGTGCAGAAAAAGCTGCTTGAGGAAGGCTTTTTCAAAATCGCCCTCTTTTCAATGGTATTTTACCCCTATATTAGGGTTAGGGGTGTGCACCAGGGTAGGGTTAGGTCATTGGTGGCGAACTTACGGCATGTGTGCCACAGCAGGCACACTGAGCCCTCTCTGTCAGCACATGAGCCGAGTCGCCCCAGCATCGCCCCAGCAGCCGAGCATCGGATAGCAGCGCACACAGGGGCCATGCGCATGCTCGGAAAAGAGTAGTGGCGCCAGGCGATGACGTCACGTGCCGTGACTCATTAGCCACGACTCCTCCAAGCTTTTGCATGGCTGGTCAGTGCACTGCCAAGGATATATATATTTGCTTGAAGTGGCTGTGAGTTGTTTTTTCTGAACTAAAACTAAAACCTCAGTTTTCAGGTTTTATTGTAGGGTTGGCACCTTGCGATCAATAAGTGGGTTCTGGCTTGCAGTTTGGGTCTCTGAAAGGTTGGCCATCACTGGTCTAGGGAATTCCCCTTTTCCCCACGGTGTCACATCTCACACAGTTATTCCTTAGCAGCTTTCGTGAGCAAGTTCCTGGCAATACCTGCTAAGTGACTCTTTGTGAATCGCAGGAAAAAACATACGAAAAACCAGCCCATGGAATACTTAGGTGTGCCCTGTTCATTTGGTCATTTAATGAGGTAACAGGAAACAGACTGGCATGTTTGGTTCAATAGCATGTCTGCTTCCGCCTCCCAGCCAAGATTATCAAGGTGGTTTGCAATTAAACGCTTGCACGTCATCAATGATTCCCTTAGTAATACTCATCATCATCCTCATAGCAAAGGTGGGTGGATGTCCTGGCCACACTGAAAGCTAAAAGATGCCACCTAGGAAAAAGGGAGCGCTTTCCATTGTTCATGCGTTCCCAAGTATGCAGAATTACATGAGTCTGAGCAAGCATTAAAAAACAAACAAATCCCTCCCCCCCAAATCATGGCACAAGAAGTCTCTCTGAGCTTGTAGAGAGAGAGAAAAGATCTGAAGAGCGCATGACCCTGTCGCTTTAAGGCTGCAGTTTTTCTAGTATGTGTTTTTACACTGTGTGCTGCTCCCTATTCCAGTATTCCTCATTCTGGAGCATCCAAGTCGAAAAGATAAAATTCGTAAAAGAGTAAAGCAAGTTAAAAACAGTATTAATAAAATCATATCCATAAACCATGGCTGCCTAGATCAGGGAGGCTTCCTGAAGTTCAGGTGTCTTAGGAGGCAGTGCAAGCGATACGGTGCTGGTCCCAGAGGCGGGGAGTTGCATGGAAAGGGGGCCACTCCGCTGAAGGCCCTGCTCGGGGCGGACTGCATTTGGCCCATGTGCCCACACAGTAGCGCCAGGCACATGTCCTCCAGTGGCCTCATTGAACAGGTAGGTGTTCAGCTCAGGTGGGACCAACAGAGACACAGGTATGAGTGTGTCGGGCAAAAGCAAAACCAACAAAGGGTGGTAAGAAAGCAGGATCCTGCTCAGAACCTTAACTACGTATGGGAAGGCTAAACTGGCTGTCCCGCCCATGGTATTCTACACGGAGGTTTCACGACGAAGCAGAGAACAAGACCAGCTTTTCCCTTGGCCACATTCTACGCCAGGCGTTCTCCAAGTGTTCCGGGTCAGGGATATGTTGGGAATTTTGAGAAAATGGCGCTGTCGCAAAATGACTGCCACGTGGCAGCTTGCCTGCTCCGTCAACGGCTGTTCAGAGAGACGTAGCCCATCACAAAACCCAGATTGCCTGGAAGGCAAAGCAGCGAGGTGGGAAGAAAAGTAACTTGCCTTAATCAATGGGGATAAATGCACACTTGGAGAAATGTGCTCGGACATGAACACTTTCCCAGTGTACTTCTCCCGTTGCAGTGCATCCTTGTCCCTGTTCGAAATGCACGCTTTTCCAATTTGAGAGGAAGGCTTTTCCTGTTCAAAGCAAGGCCTGCTCCCATTCACATGAAGTGGAAAACAGATGGCAAATGAAAGGGAGAGCGTGTGGAACCAAGTGCCCAAGTGAAGTTTGGCGAATTTCAGCAAATTGGCACATCCCTGGCTTAACATATTAAAAGTTAGCATGTTCCGTATCCCAGAAAAGTGACATTGGAAGACCTTGAAGCAGGGTCTTTTATGTAGTAGCACCCCTGGGAACCCCAGAATGCCTTGTTGGCTTCCTCACAATTGGCCTTTAGACTGCTAGTAAAAACCATTCTGTTCCAACTGTTTTTCTTTTAGTATTTAATTTGCTGTGGCTTCATTTTTTCATGGTGTTCTGCACACACACGCAAACCCCACCAAGCTTTCGCAGGCAGGATGATTCCAAAAGACATTCCAGACATCCAAATAACAATTTTCTCCCAACAACGAGAGCTAGAAATTCATTGTTTTCCTCTTCCAATCAAAATCTGTCAGAACAGCCCAAATCTGGCCCTCATTATCCCCCTGGGCCGTTTTTGTAGAGCTGTTACTTTCCGTCACCACAAGGGCCACATTTCCTTCTAAAGGAAAGATCAAATGAATATTTCTCTTAATTTCTAAAGCTGCTTGGCCTGGCAGCAGGGCAGGAAAGAGATGGGATAGGGGAGAGGCGTTATCACATTGCGGGGAGGGGGAACGGAGGACGAGGTGTTCAAGTCGCACAGCCCGCTCAGCAGCCGAACGGTGCTTTGTTTTGCAGAGCCGCGCTTCAGGCCCGTAAGCTGCACTCCAGTTTGATCTTGACTTCTGCACTTTGCAGGAAATCGCCCGGCAGCAGCTGAAGCAAACAAGAAAGGCGGATGGGACTGGCGGGGGGCGGGGGGAGGCCTTAAATAACTCCTCCAGCAGCTCTGTCCTGCTGCAGTGAGGGCGCCGCAGCTGCCCGGGGTGTTCAGAGGACACCCTTAGTCGGTTCTGTGCAGAGGGATCCGTTCAGTTGCTGCACCGACCCGAGTTGCTAACTAGGCAGCCGTGGATATTAAATCCTAAATCCAGGCTAAGCGAGGGGCTGTGGGAGCTCGCTGCCAGCCCTTCCCCATACAAAGTAGAGGAGGAGAAGAATTGTACGCTGCTGTGTGAGCTGGCGTCTCAGATTTGGGTTAGGGCTCTGGAGACCTGGGCCCAAATTCCGAAACTTACAGGCTTTTCGCAAAGATGCAGTTCTGTAGCTTACATTAGGGATGGTAAGGCGAGCTGGATCAGGCCACTTTGTCTTTGGATGAGCAGGGGCAGAACCCACACAGCTGCACAGTACTTCTGGGGAGGGGAAGATTGGCCTTGGAGTCCACGTGGCGGCAGCATTCAGAGCTGTGAGAATCACACAACTGCCTCCCCCCACCCTGCCCGTCTGCCCCAGCAACTGGTCCACAGGCTCACTGCCTCTGAGGAAGTGCAGAGGTTTCAGGACCTCACAGGGTTGTTGTGAGAGTACAGTGGAGAGGAGGGACACTGAGATGCTGCGGGTTCCTTGCACTGGTGAAATGCAGTTTAAGATGATGAGTGCATTGCAAGCGGAGGTCAGCATAAATCCAGATTCCTACCAAGATCATCTTGCCTGAACTCGTTGGAGAGAACGGAAGAGTGTTTGCACGTTGGAATTGTTGCATGCACACACAAAAAACTTCCAGCCCGCCATTTCTAGGCATGCCATAGGCCCTAACAAGAGCACTTCTGTTCTCTTCTCTCCGTTGCAGTTTTTAAAAAATACTACCACATCTCGAGACCGCAGAGTATGTCCATCAACAATACCACCTTCCTGCTGAACATGTCCGTGGAGCGGTCGGCACTGGCCAACCAGACCGAGAGCCCCGCGGCCGGCACGCATTGCGACCGGGAGACAGCCGTTCTTAGCCTCATGCTGATGTTGGGCACTCTCTGGCTGGGCCACACGCTGTACCAGTTTAAGAAAAGGTACGTCGGTCCATCGCTCTTCCACGCCCGCCCCCCGCCGAGGGGTCGTTTGAAAGTTACCTGCGCTTCCACTTAGAAGAACGGAAAATAAACACGATGCCCGTTCTTGCAGTCTGAACTGCAGGGAAGGAGAGGGCTCCCAGCCAGCCTGTTTATGCCCAGTTCAGTGCTGGATTAACCCACAAAGGCCTTACACAGCCTGTGCCAGGGCACCGGAAGGATCGCTTCTGTCCATATAGACCCTAAGGCCGCCCTCCGGAGTGTTGCGCTGGGTGTCCCTGCCAGAAGGAACGGTCCCTTTAAGTGGTGGTGTTTCAGTTGTGGAACGCCCACCCCAGGAAGGGTTTCCTGGCACTGCAGTGGGGCATTTGCATCTCCCGGTGGAGCCCTTTTTATTTCCCCAAACTTTCTAGTCCGCCCGTTTTCGTGATGTCATTGGCGCATGGTTTGCTCTTTGCACAACTGTGGGATTTCACACTGCTTTTTGATGTGGGTTGCATTCCATTTTGAACTTCAGGGGTTTGTGCTGGTTGTTACCAAGTTACTGTGTTGCATGAAGTGCTCCGAGAGCTTTGGGTGGTGGGAGGCAGAGAGGTGCAGAGACGTAAATGATGGCATCGCTCGGGGTTGGATTCCTGCTTTCTGTGCTGAGCAAGTTCGAGGCATCGTGAGTCTAAAGAAGATCTTGGGTGGCAAGGCTGAAAATTTGAGCCGCCACTAGTTAGCGTGCCAAGTGCAACGTAGGCGACTCGAAGGCAGCTTCCTCCGTTGCCCCATTCGAGTAATTCCTTAGGGAGGGATCACAGCTTAGTGGAAATCCATGCGCTTTGCATGCAGCATGTCCCACGTTCGATTCCTAGTATTCCTAGCCGCGTGGCCTTAGCACACCCTCCACAAGGCTCTCTGCTCACCGTCATAGTCCCCAGTTGCTCTTGTTCCTCATCCTCTTCCTCACCACCTGCCCGGCAGGTGGGGAAGCAAAGGGCAGGGGGCTCCTGGCAACTCCTCTCTTCCCTCCCACCCTCACGATTGCCTGGGCCAGTGGTGGCGAACCTATGGCACGCGTGCCACAGCGGGCACGCAGAGCCCTCTCTGTCGGCACGCGAGCCAAGCCACCCCAGCATCGCCCCAGCAGCCGAGCATCAGGAAACAGCATGCACAGGGGCCACGCGCACGCTCGGAAAGGAGGAGTGGCACCACGCGACGACGTCACGTGCTGCGACTCATTAGCCACGACTTGTCCGAGCTTTTGCATGGCCGGTCAGTGCGCTGCCAAGGATATATATGTATATATAGTTGCTCTGACTGGCTGAGTTGCTTTTTCTAAACTAAAACCTCCATTTTCAGGTTTTATTGCAGTGTTGGCACCTTGCGATTAATAAGTGGGTTTTGGGTTGCAGTTTGGGCACTCGGTCTCTAAAAGGTTCGCCGTCGCTGGCCTGGGCCGTTCAAGAGGCAGCGAATAAGCAAAGGCCCAAGCTGGTTCCGCCATATTTGCCGCACTAGAACTTCATCATCCCCGGTCAGGAGGGCTGACGGCCTTGTTGGCTGGGGATCATGGGAACTGTAGTCCGGCACTGGAGGGCCTGAAGTGGCGCATGGCTGGAATAGGGAACCCTGTCCGACAAAGGCCGGCGGAGTAGCCCAGTTCCTCCGTCACCTCTCCGTTCTCAGTCCCATGAAAACCCCGACGCGTTCCAAGCCTGGATAAAACCACAGAAGGAATGCGTAACGAACTGCCGGAAAAATGGCGCCTGGATGCAAAGACTTTAGTGGCAGTCGCCGGCATGTTTCTGTAAAGGTGGTGAACACATTTGCATGGAAAAGCTCCTCACGAGATACGTGTAGGGATCGCCGATCCTCAGAAGGAAGCCTTCAAGCAGGGTCAAACCGGTGTGCTTTTCTGAAGCAGTGCGTGAGAGGTAAAATGAACAGTAAGATGGAAAAAGCTCTGGGTGGCATATCCATATCTGTTAATATAAGATATATTGTAGTTCACGGATGAATGGATTTAGTGAAATCCATTCTGTGTGCATTTTGCAGAATTTCAGGCAGGGTTCGTTCCTTGCTGCCTCATGGATAGAACCTGATTTTGCACAAATGTCTTTGTACACATTTGAACACATTCGCACTTGTAGAAATGCAGGAATCCACCCCAGGTACACCTTTTCCTGCTTTAGTCTTTGTTTTTTTTTGGGTGAGGGGGAGAGTTTGGCCAGTTTTTTTTTTTTCCCTATGACTAAATTTGGGTGAAATTACAGAAAGTAACAAAACTGGTCCACAAGTCCGTACAACTCACAAAAGATGGTTGCAGGTTTCTCTGACTTTTTTAAAATAACGTAAAATCCCTTCTACTAATAGAAAAAGGAGGAAGAGAACAAGGGTTGTACTCTTGAAAATTTGTGAGGAAATGCATGGTATTTACCAGGATTTTCCGGGCCCTGACTGTGGCCTGTAGCACAGCTAGTCTGCCTGGGTCTTCAGAGTCCAGAGCACCTGCAGCCAAGATATTAGGAGGGCGAGTACCCGGAGCAGGGCCTTCTCTGCGGTGGTGCCTCATCTATGGAATGCGCTCCCCAGAGAGGTCCGCCTGGCGCCGTCATCATTTGCTTTTCGGCGCCAGGCCAAGACCTTTTTATTTAAAAGTTATTTTAACTGTAAATTTATTATTATTGTATTTATAGATTTTAATATATATAACAGAGATGGTACCTGTTTTTAAATTATTAATTTTATATGAATGTTGTGAGCCGCCCCGAGGATTTGTTGCGATGGGGGCAGCATAGAAATGTTTTAAATAAACAAATAAATAAAATAGTGTGGTCCTGGCAGCTTTTTCCAAGTGTGAAGAAAGCTGAGCCAAGTCCCAATGTTTTAAATGTCTGGAACAAACCTTCTACGTTTGCCTTCACCGAGACTTTTCACTATTGTTCCAGCCCATATTTGCATGCCAGAGTTCGCGAAATCCTTTCCGATTGTGCCTTACCCATTTCTGTCCTAACCTTCTCCATCATTGGATCATATTTCTTCAAGGAAATAAAAAGTAAGTTGACATCTTTACTGTTCTTAGTTTACTAATAGAAAGGAAGAAGGCAGGGTGTTGAGAATCAACAACCCCCACCTGGTCCTGAAGAGCTCCAAAATCCCATCTCAAAACTTGTTCTGGCCAGTTTTTTCTTCCATTGATTAAAGCACGCTCGTGCACATTTTTCCAAGCTCTGCCTTTTAGGCGCATTTCTGAAATGTACACATTTCTTTTGAATCATAGCAGAAGCTCAGAAAGGCACAGATCTTAACCACAGACTCCCTTTACCTGAGTAGATCCCGGTCAAACAATGAACTGCAACATTTTTTTTTTTAATCCACACTCTGAAGAGTTTCCAAAACCCCAAAGTGTGAACATTTGGCCTCTCCTGCCTGTTTAATTACACCCCAAGTTCACAGTCAGGATTAATTCGTGGATTGAGCTAATCAAATGAGCTGGTCTTAACAGACTTTTTTGTCCTGAGAGTTATTCCCTTCTGTAATTTATTTTTAATGTAATTAAAATGGCTTTCTTTCTCCCTCATTAAAGAGTTGATCCCTTTGATTATTGTGGCAGGGAACAAAAGGGCTACATAATTATGGGAGGCAGGAAGTACTGTCAGCAGATGCAAGTGGCGATGCTTTTGACCTGCGCTTTTTCCCCTGCTACTTTATATTTTCCTAATTAAAACGTGCTAATGGTTTGGAACATCTGGTAGGATTATCAGATACACAAGGCAATTTTTAAAAATTACCCAGCGTCCCCTTGGCTCAATGGATCACCTTTTCCAAATCAGGAAGGGAGAAAGGAGACAGTAATCACTTGTCCTCGTGATGACGCGGATGGGAAATGAATCGGAGCAAATTAAGAAATGCCTGCTCTGTCCCCCCCCCCCCCCCAGCGACCCGCATTCCATCCATTCAGAATGGGAAAGTGGCCGGTTTTTCTGTGTGCGCGGCAATTTCCTGAATGGCACTTGCTCCCGTGCCACCTGTCAAGCGCGAGCTCCAGCGCGCCAAATCCCCATTGCGTAGCCTTCAAAGGATGGCCTTCAGAAATGCCTCAGCTGCTACGGGATTGCAGGGATGAAAGATTTAACTCTGCTCTTTGTCCTGATGCCATCAACCACGTTCTGAGCCGCACCGTCGCTGCTGTTGTTTCCAAAGCCACAATCCCCCTGCGCAAGAAAAAGCCAAAAGCCACCCAACAGACGGTCTTTTTCCCGTGCTCAGAGAATGAAGAAAACATGTTGTGTGCAGGTTTATGAGAACAAGGCTGAGCTTACAGGATTGTCTGGGATTTTTCCCATCGCTCTGACCTAGCAACAGGAGCTCGATGCAGGAAGTCTGGCAGAATTAAGGGACGATTTGCCCTCGAATCAGTTCTGAGTTTGCGAAGTGAGAGCCGAGCATCGTCCTTGCTCACAGAACTCTGCCTCTCTTTGCCCCAAGCTTTCTTAACTTCGCCCATATAATTGGCGAGGGGGTAATTTTGTTGCCCCTCTTGTAAAATAATTGGGAATCAGCAGTCCTTGCTGATTTACCGCAAAGCACTCGGAGATCCTCAGTACTGAACTCAGGGACTGAACTTCTGCCCGCTCCGTACAGGAGGGCTTCCTTCTTTGGCCAGTTCCAGGCCAGTCCAGTCCAGTCCAAGGAGAGGCACCTCTTTGGCTAGATGGCTGCAATATAGATACTGAGGAGCGGGTTCTGAGCGGGTTTAGGGGTGGAAGGGGGAGGTCTGGTGTTGGTTCCCCATCGAGGAACTCGGAGGGGTCTGGAGAGACCTTGACCAAACGGCACTGTTGCCTGGAGCGCCAGTCTTGGAAATGGGCTATGCAGCAGCCGACCGACTGCCGTACGGTGATGCCGCGCAGCCAGCGCGTTGCCCCGGCCCGTAATCAAGTAGGCAGGCCCAGTTTCCACCCTCTGCAGTGCAGACCAGAACTGTGAACAGTAAGCGAGGAGGTCCAGGCCCCCGGCAGTGAGTGGGTTCCCACAGCCTGTTTTCTGGATTCACACACACCGAGCGTCCTCCAAGCCTTCCCACGGGAGTCTCCAGGCCGGCTCTGGTGAGGCAGCCTTCTTGTGCTTGTGCTTTTGCAGTGTCTAAATTCAACTACAACCAGTCGGAGAGCCTGTTTGTGCTGGCGCCTCTCTGGGATCTCTCCGTCGGACCCGTCATGAGCGCGATGGGCTTGGGGTTCCTGCTGTCCATGCTCTTCTTCATCGAGCAGAACATTGTGGCGTCCCTCACAAATGCCCCAGAGAACAGGTATAGCTTTTGTCCGTAATCGCATCGGTTTCACTGCCTTTGTTGATAGTTCTTCCACTTCGAGCCTCCGATGGCCACAGAGAGAGCGGTGGGAGCATCCTAGCCAGCTTTTGCTCCCTTAAGCATGAGGACTAGATACTTAGTATTCTGGCACCTTGGTTTTGATTAAAGCAATGCCTAAGGTGAAAGCTCGTGTGTGCTCGGAAAGAAACAAGGCCTGCGGACCTTTCACATCTTCCTGAATTAGAGCTCGCTTTCCCGCCTGCCCCATTTCTTGTGTAATTTTTATCTCTTACCTTTCCCCTACAAATCAGGATCGAAGCCACTAAAATCGCATTCTAAAAATTATAAGCACGAGCTGCTAACTCAGTAACCAGTTAAAAGGACAGTAGCACAGCTGGCTTGTTGACTTCCCGCTCCGTAGTGCTAGCAAATGATGGTTCAGAAAAATCATGTCCTTAAATAAAGACAGAGCATTTCTTCTCAGCAGTTGCATGGATTACAAACAACTAATCCACACACATTTTGAAGCAGTATATATAGCAAGAGTCCGTTTACTTCGCCCAGTGCTGACTGTAGAGTGGTCAGTGTTTTGGTCAGGGCAACAGAAGGATTTCCCTACCTGTGTTAAAGAAAGGGGGGAAGGATTAGGTCGACCCCGTTCTGCTCCAGGAAAAGCTGCTTTTGCATTCGGAGTGGGACTGCGCAACAGCGAAACCCGTCCCAGGATGCACCTGTATCTCTTTGCCAGCCAGCCTTTGATGCTCAGCACATTTGTGCCAGCTCCACAATCCCACAAGCCAGATGTACATCCTGCGTGTCCCCGACCAGGGCTGGCGCATGAGTCACCTCCTCCAGCAAGCCTCCCTTTTCACTGCCATGAGCTCGCGGCTGCCCCTTCCAGCGCTGCTATTCTGTGGTTAAAACACTGCTAACAGGGATTTCTTTCAGGTTAGTCAAGGGAACTGCTTACCACTGGGACCTCCTCCTCGTGGCCCTGATTAACACAGGGCTGTCCGTCTTCGGGCTGCCCTGGATCCACGCTGCCTTCCCTCACTCGCCGATGCACGTCCGTGCGCTGGCCTACGTCGAGGAGCGGGTCGAGAACGGGCACATCTACGAAACGTAAGTCGGGGCAACCATCTGGCTTGGTCTCTGCTCCAAGGAGCAACCCCATTGTAAAAATCCAGCTGCCACATTCTTGACCCCCTCTCCACATAAAGAGCTGATCCTTCTCTCTCTCTCTCTCTCTCTCTCTCTCTCTCTCTCTCTCTCTCTTTTGAATAAGTTTTATTTGAAATTATAATCCTAAACACAAAGAAAAACTAAAAACAGCACCAATCCTCAGAAACATCGGACCTGCTGGGGCAGCCCCCACATTTTTTTTTCCATTTATGGTAACTTAAAAACATATTTAAATTTATACGAAGTCCCGTTTCTCTAGCCAATAATAAAAAGAGTCCCAAGTTTGATAGTAGTAAGAGCTGATTCTTCTCCTTCATCCTGAACCAGCCCAGCCGTCTGGGATTCTAGAAAAGTACGGGTGCCCTGGTATTGCCCTCCAGCATTTATTTTTATTTATTTATTTATTTAGAAAATTTCTATGCTGCCCCATTTGCCGAAGCCTCGGGGCGGCTCACAACATAAATCCATTAAAATGATATGAATTAACCATATAAAATAAGTTAACAATATAAAATAAGTTGCCCGGGCCAAAGAATAAAATAAATAAATACTATTAACAGTTAAAATGACGTTTGAATAAAAAGGTCTTTGCCTGGCACCGAAAAACAAATAACGACGGCGCCAGGCGGACCTCTCTGGGGAGCGCGTTCCATAGATTGGGCACCACTGCAGGGAAAGCCCTCCTCCGAGTACCTACCCTCCTAATTTCCTTCACAGAGGGTTCCCGGAGAAGGGCCTCTCCCGCAGATCTCAGGGGGCGGGCGGGCATATATGGACATAAGCGCTCGTTCAGGTAGCCAGGACCCAAGCCGTTTAGGGCTTTATAGGTCATCACCAACACCTTGAATTGGGCCCGGACTTCAATGGGAAGCCAGTGAAGCTGACGGAGGACTGGAGTCATCTGAACATAACTCCCCATTTCCTGGGATACTGAGCTCACTCTGCCCAGGGGTGGAGGGGTAAGTTTCTAACCAAACTAGTTAGCAAGTAGTTAGAAAGTCAGTCTCCATGCTTTCAACAGCATTCCCCCAAGCGTGGACGTGTGGGCCATTTGATAATATTCACTATTCCGGGCAAACCTAAAGCCAGGCTGCTTCCAAACAAGGCTTTTATCATACTATCTGCCTGTCTCTATCATGTAATTGGGGGGGGGGGGCAATGGGGAGGGGTAGACACTGTCCTCTTCCATTAAAGGTAGCCTCAAAATAATCGGAGACGGGTCAGATCAATCAAAGGAAAGATGGATTTTGCTGCTGCAGATGGTAGCCGCGATGCGCCCTGCATCCGGAAGCCTTGCATGTAGACAAGGCCGGCAGGCTATTAAAAGCCCCGAGGGAGAGGTGTGCAGGGGCGGGAGGAGAAAATGAGGAAACGGAAGCACGGCGGGAAGGTGGGAGAGGAAGCGAGAGAAGTGGGGGCTCCTGGCTTTGAAGGGAGCAACAGAAGCGCGGGAGGCCCTTCCGTCGAGGGAAAGAGTCGCAGAGGTTTGGAGGCAGCTGCAGAAAAGCGGGCTTCCCCTTCTCTGTTTTGTGTGACTCGGTGTCCTCGGAGTGGGGGACGGAGACCCCACCGCTCTGGAGTTGTGCCCTGTGTCCGTACAAACCGGAGAGTTTGGAATGCTTGCAGAGAGCCGCTTGCCTTGCAGAGAAAACGTATCCACAAGCAGCAGCAAATCCGGAAACCCGGCTTGGTCATAAACAGATAATTTTTCAAAAAATCCAGTGGCCACTAGGGGGCGCCCCGGTGCGGCGCCTTCGTTTTGGTCAACATGGTTCGCTCTGATAGGGAATTAAAGGGGCTGGGGAAAAATGGCTTGATCAAGGGCTCTGTTGTGACATCACAAAGGCTAGGTAGACCCTTCGGGGGGGGGGAGGGGTAGTCCGCCGGCTCCTGTTTGCAGGGGAAGGTGAGAAGGAGCTTACCTGTGCACTCAGGACCTGCTTCAGGGCCTTCGATGCGCCATTCCTCACCGGGCCTGGCTCATTTCCGCCAGCTTCCTCTCCTCCAGATGTGTTGGAACACCACTCCTATTAGCCACAGCAAAAGGCCACTCTGGCTGTGGAGCATGGGAATTGGAGCCGCATCATGAAACATCTGTCGCCACGATGGCCAACCAGCTGTCTGCGGGGAGCCCAGGTGTAGGATCTGAGTGCAACGGCACTCTCCTTCCCATGTTCCCCAGCAGCAGGCAGCTTCCTTGCCCCTTGAGTGTGCAGGTGAGAATAGCTGGGCGTTGAGCGATGCTTCAGAAGCCGGATGCAGCAATTCCACACATGTGCACACACAATTTACTTTTGAAGAATGAAGTATGCTTTCAGCCAGGTTGGCCGGGTTGCCTGAACGGGCCTCTTTCACCTGCAGCTGAATGGAGGAGCTTCCAGAGGGACACTTTGTAAAGTAGTAACGCTGATTAACACAGTGATTTTTTCCTTAAGCAGAATGTCACAAGCCCCCCTTCGCAACCTGTCACGAAGCGATGTGTGTAATCCACACGGTTGCTTCTAATGCAGGCTTCACACAGTCTTGTTCTGAGATACCAATCAGGTCATCCGGAAGACGCTCACAGCATATGGTTACCTGGGGCAACAGGTTTTTGCAAAAAGAGTTGCCGGCCTTGTTTCCGCTGAGCTTCTCTTTGAGAAACTCAAATTTTCTTCTCTTTGGGGATGCCGCAAAATGGAGAGAAATCCAGGCACTCCAAAATCAAGTTAGCTGCTGCTAGGAAGGGATTAAAAGGCAGGAAGGAGGATTTGGGCTGCTTGGAGATATTTTCGTTTTGCAGGCTGCAAATGACTTGAATTAGATTTAAGCTCTGAAGATGGGGAATGACGGAGGGAATAGCTGGAGCCAAGCGGACTGGAAGCGCAGCAATTCTGCGGCAAGAGAAATGGGACCGTGCAATTTGTTCAGAGCTGCTCCTTCCTCATCACAGGAGCAGAGACCCGGGTGGAGAATCACAGCTCCCTACTTGTTCAGCTGGAAATCTGGTTTAGCCTCACACTGGCCTTGGAGGTTCCTCCTGAATGCTTCCATATCCATGTTTGCCATTGCGCTTTAATGGTTATAAGCTTGCTTAAAGGCAGAAGGGAGGAAAACAGCATTCCTGGGGGGTGGGGTGAATACTTGGTTCATCTTGTGTGATTCCAGAGCTGCTCGGAGTATCTGACTCACCCTGGTCTTGAGTAAAATAAGATTGGTGGATAGCTGATTGATCAGAAAAGCCCAGAATTGCGAAAACACTTGTGATGTGCAGGACACGTCGCACGTACCTGCAGATCACACGCCTCTTGCCTCGAAGCGTGCACTGCCTTCCGTGGCGCATCAGGGCGCCCGGGGCAGCGGGAGGGGCGTGCAAAGCGGTGCGGTTTGGAGTCCTCACTCGCTCGGCCAGCCCCGTCCCTTGACGGGCCGGTGTTCCAGGGGCGCGTGCACAGAGTCTCGCGATTCCCCGCTGCTCTGCTCTGCGAGGGCAGAGCCGGGCACCTCTCTGCCCAGTGACGCCCGCTCTCGCGCCTTGTCTCTGGCCAGGATCGTGAGCGTGAAAGAGACCCGGCTGACGACGCTGGCGGCCAACTTCTTGGTGGGCCTGTCGCTCCTGCTGCTGCCCTTCCCCCTGCAGCTCATCCCGAAGCCCGTGCTCTACGGGCTCTTCCTCTACATCGCCCTGACCTCCATCGATGGCAACCAGCTCTTCGAGAGGGTGGCCCTGCTGCTCAAAGAACAGGTAAGCGTGCCACGGAGCTCGGCCGGCGGGACGCAGCGCTCTGGCCAGGCAGCCCTCCAGCCTCAGTTTCCTGAGGAAGCTCATAATCATGAGTTGATTGCCACCGCCTGCAAAACACTGCCATTAAATAGCCCCCGGGTGCTTCCATGGCCCCCCTCCTTCCCCCCCTCGTTCACACCCTGTCTGTGGCTTGAATGAGCTTCCCCGGCAGGCGCTGGGCAGGTTGCCACCTGGGGGGTGCCAGCCAGAGAAACCCCAGGCCTCTGCTCCAGGGGTGGGGAAGGGGAGCTTTCCCCTCCTGGCGCGCCCGCGATCCTCCAAGGACCTCACGACTGCAGGGGCGGCCAGCAGCCCGCAGCCTTTGAGTGGCGCGCCAGGGATGCTGCACCCGCCCAGCATGAGCCGGTGCGGAAGCAGGCAGACAGCTTCGATCGTGTGGGTCTTCCCTTCGGCTCAGCCCAAGTCCCACCCGGTGGGGCCGGTCTGATGGGAACTCGCCCACTGCCGTCAGGATTGCTCGATGGCATATGCAGTCCCCGTGCCCACTGAGGCTTTGTGTGGGGAAGTAGCTGAGAGGCCGGCAGAGAGAGAGACGGATCGATACTGCAGGAAACGCGCCACACGGAAAAAGCCTCTCTCGACCTGCAGCCAATCCATCAGCCCGGCAGTCCATCTCGCAGTGGGACGTCTTCTGTCTGTCTGCAGGAGGGATGAGATGGGTTGGCTTGTCCGCAGAGGAAGCTCCCTGAGCCTTCCTAAAGTTCCGTCATGCCGGGGTTTTGCCTGCTTCTGCTCGCAAGCTGCACTGGGGGCCATTCCTGGGTGTCCAAGACATTTCGGGATGGGCTTTGTGCGGCCTCTAGAGCAAGCCCCTGGACTTGGGGCCCTCGGTTGCCACGATAGTCAAACGGTAGAGAGCCGTTCCCATTCTGTCCGCATGCTCTTGTATGTGAGAATGTGATACCATACTGGTATTTTTCAGAAGTACACATCAGTGGGTGCACATCTGTGCATATTTTTAAGTGTGCACTTTTGGGGTTTATGCCCACATGGACCAGAGCGCATGTGTGTGCACATTTAGGAAATACACACATTTTTCTTCAGGTATTTTTAAAATGTGTACCCATTGGGTGCTCCCCTTAAAAAAGGGGGAGGGGGATGCATCGCAAGATAAAATTAAGGGTTGCTGACCTCAGACTGCATTTGGGTCTAAGAAGGTACAAATCAGCTAAGTCCAGAAAAACAAAAGCGCATCTTGAAGCAGGTTTCATACATCACAAATTCTGGATCCTGGCCACTGCCTTTGGGATGCTGCCAGCCTCAAGCCTCGTAGTCCAAGACTTTGCATCCTCACAGCAGAAATTATCCGTACTCTTGATCACTGAAGGTTTTGTGATCGCATTGCGTTTATATCCTTCCTGCGAGGAACTCACGGCGGCACATGAAGCGCCTTTCCACTCCATTTTCAGCCTCACAACCTCCCTGTGAGGTAGGGTAGCCTAACCCTAACCAGGACCAGCCCCTGTGACGAGCATTACCAGTTGCATTTCACTGGTGGTGGCCTTTGAGTGGCTGCACAGTCCGTCCCGTGACTTCTTCGTGGTGCCAGGTTGGCTTTTTGGCACGCCACAACGGCTACGAATTGGAGGGGCAGCGTAGCAGAGAGGGGCTTGTGAGGAGCAGCTGTGAGGCACACGCCCCCAGGGGGTTGCCCTGAAGGAAGCAGCTGGGCAGGTGTGGGAATCCGGACTCCAGCTCTCGCTTTCTCTGCGAGCACATCAAAGCCGCTCACAGGATGCGGCTGGGCGGCAGAATATCTGGTAGAGTTGGCACTTGGTTCTAAACCGTGCAAACCTAGCGCTCCGCACCTTGGACCTGGGCACGGATTCCCTTTGGTCTCACTGCAAGGGGTGGTTCATCCAACGCAGGGGTGTCTTCAGCCCATGCTGGGAGCAAAGCTTCTGGGAGCTCTGCCCCCCTGTTGGGTGGGGCTGGAGGCAAAGTGGGGAGGCCAGGATAAGCAACTGCGGACACAGCCTTGGAAGAGGCATTTTGCAAGCAGGTGAGCAAATGGCAGCAGCCAGTAAGCCCACGGGACAGCCATCGGAGGACCGGGGATGGGCCAGGGGAAGGCATGGCCATTTTGCGAAGCCTGGCGGGCCAAATCGGAACCCCGCGCAGGCTGAATTTGGCCAGAGGGCCCAAGATTCTACGCAGTCCAACAGCAGGCGAGATGGCCACTTCCTGGTCTGAATTGCAGGCATCCCTCCTGGCCTGCTAAGCAGTGTGTGTGTGTATGTTTGAGAAACAGAAACAGCGCAAGTCCAAAGGACCCTCCCGGGCCATCTAGTCTGACCCCCTCCAGCCGGCTCCACTCATGACATGCCTAGATTATATTCTACAATAGTTGATCCCAATGGTCTGGGGGGGTTGGGGAGATGCCACCCCACACTTTTGAACAGAAATGGTTTGAGGGTAATTGTCACGGCAAAAGGAGAACATTCCCGTCCACCTTCCAAAGATTTGCGTGCGGATTCTGCCGTAACGTCTAGGCAGAGAATCCAAGAGCGAGCCGGTTCGATCCGCAGCCCCCTTTCCCGTCAGAAGTGGCGTGTTCCCACCTGGCGAACTCCCGGGCAGCCCTGGTTGTGTGGCCTTGATGAAGAGGCTCCGATGGTTACGCAGGGGACGGAGCGGCCTCTTCGCCATGTGCGTTCCTCATCTCCTGCCGCTTTTCCTTTGAGCGATTCCTTTTACCGATTCTAGCACTATCGGTAGCGTCCAACCCTGTTCCAAAATACGTTTACCCCAAAGCTTGCCACCAGGGGGTGCTTCAGCAATTGGGTCGTATAGAAATTAAAAATAAATATGATGCTCAGGATAAAAGCTGCAATGGGTGAAGAGCCCCACTGGCATAGGCACAGCCCCCCCCCCCCAGTTGTCATGGTGGGACAGGGGATGGGAGTGTTTGGATGAATGAATCGTTATCTTACATTTGCAGCTCTTGAGTTGCAGGGAGCTCTGGTCCTTCAGTCCTCACGATGTTTTCAAAATGTGTTGCTTCCGATATAAATGGATACATTCTGCCAATTTATCTGTATTTAAAATATATTTATATTGCTCTGTGAGGCACCCAGAGAGCCTTTGGCTCTGCGGGGGGGCATACAAACGTGATAGATAGAAAGATAAAATTATATTTTCTGTACATCCTCTATCATCACTCAGAACTTAGTGGCTTGGCAAACATTTAACCAGGACCACCTAACGCTGCTTTAGCAACTGTGTTCACTTCTACAGCGGTGCAGATGGGTTGGATTGCAACTCCCAGCAGCCCCTTCTGGCCTGGCCAATGGTCAGGAATGCTAGGAGCATACACCCCAAATACCTGGAGGCCTTCTTTTCATCCCCCAGAGCTGGTCCAGCAGTCATTCCCTGTCCCGAAGGAATCCCAGAAATTGTAGTTCCTTGAATTGTAGTTCCAGTTGCTGTCCCAGAATTCTATGGGGGAAGCCATGATGGCTGAAGAGACGGCAATAGGAGAACCTTGCACCGTTGGTCTGCAGCCACGCGTTTAGCGAGTGGCTGCCGTGCGTGTCCATGCCCCCGTTTGTGCGTGTTGCGTGTGCGCCGTGCCCTTTGTCCTGCCCGTTCCCTGCCCTTCTGGTGGACGCTCCGCTTTACTCCCCTTCCAGACGGCCTACCCGCCCACGCATTACATCCGCCGGGTCCCCCAGAGGAAAATCCACTACTTCACGGGCCTGCAGGTCCTCCAGCTCCTCATCCTCTGCGGCTTTGGGATGTCCCCTCTCCCGTACATGAAGATGATCTTTCCGCTCATCATGATCGGCATGATCCCCATCAGGTACGTCCCGGTGCCGCCGGCTGTGGCGTGGCTTTGCGCAGGCCCTGCCCTTCCTGGGCTCGGCCGCTCGGCAGTCTCCCCGTGGGTTAAGTGTGCCACCTGCCCAGGTGAGCGGCAGTGGCCAGACTGGGTTTTTTCCCTGCTGGGCTGGCCGGCAGCCTGTTGAGAGGACCCAGCTAGGAAAGTGTGAGGAATCCACCAGATCCCGAGGGCTTGGCTCCCCAGGCTCCGGCCCGCTTCGCCACTGCGCAGCGTCCACGTTCCTGGCGGGAATGGGGTCCCACGCACGGCACGAACGATGCTTCTGGGTGCCGTGCGCCATCTCCGGCGGCAGCAGGCCGGGGGAACGTTGGTGGCCCAGAACAGCAGCCAGCGGCCACTCGCCGCTCCGGATCCGGCTGCCTGCAGGCGCTCCTGACGTTCGCAGGCTTCCTCTTGGCTCAGCTAGCTTTGCAGCACCTGGGCGAGCACTGGAGGACGTCCGTGGGTGCCAGAGGACGGGTTCCAGGGGGGTTTGCCCCAGCCCTAAATCTTCAGGAGTCCTGGCATTCCCAATGCCCACCCTATAATTCTCGACATAAGCCTTTGAGGGCAATGAGCAGTTTGCCACTTCCCCCGCTTACCCGTGGCCCATGGTCCTTTCCCCTTGGCTGCTCCTTGGTCGAGAAACGTTGAACGAGGGTTTTGAATGGCCTGGGGTTCTACTGGGTTCCATCCCGTGTGAGTCTAACTCAGGCTGCAGCCATTTCAACGCATCTACTCTTTGATGCAACCCACCGCACTTGGAGAGAGGGTCACTTGCAGAGAGGGTCCTACCATATTTCCCCGAAAATAAGACCGGGTCTTATATTAAGTTTTGCTCCAAAAGGTACACTCGGGCTTATTTTCAGGTGATGTCTTATTTTTTGTGTACAACAATCTACATTTATGCATTTATTCATGTACAAAAATCTATGTTTATTCAAGGACAGTCATGTCATCATCTTCTGGAACATCGTCTTAACTTTCCAAACCCCAAATTGTGTTGCAGCAGACATACTAAATGCATCTGTCCGGCTGATGATCTTAACTGGGGCTTATTTCTGGGGTGTGGCTTATATTATGAGCACCCTGAAAAATCATGCTAGGGCTTGTTTTCTGATTAGGTCTTATTTTCGGGGAAACGGTAATTGTTGCAACATTTCAGTGTGACCCCAAGGGGCTCGTCTTTTTTTCAACGGGGAGCCTTCTCTGACGAACCACATGGCCTAACACTATTACTTGATTTATTGAAATATTTCTAACTCGCCGTATATGGAGAGCTCTCGGGGTGCAGTGCAGTAACGAAAACAATGCATTATAAACCACGACAATATAATAATCAGGACTAGTGACCCAGGCAACCCCATCAAAGCCAAGCCAAGCTACAGTGTAGAAGAACCAAGACTTGGGTGACTTCTTTATTCTCCCAATATTTTCATTGTTAAATTGCTTTAATTTGTGGGTTTACACTGAATACTGGATGCTGTGATACCTTTTATTTTTATTTTATTTCACGAATGTTGATGTAAACGTTTGTGATGGGAGGGTATAGGAAAGTTTCAAATAAATAAAAGTCTGAAGCAGATGCTCCGATGAAGCCAGTGTCCACCCCACCGGTTGGAGGGCATTCTGTAATCACAGGGTCTCCACCGAGGAGCTCCTCTCCTGCAAAGTGTCATGTAGGCGTCCCAGCAAAGAGATGCAGGAGAAAGACTCGGAAAGACTAATTAGCCCTCCTCCTCCGCCCCAGGTACAACTTGCTCCCCAGGATCATCGAAGCGAAATACTTGGACGCGATGGACGCCGAGCACTAGGGGAACAGCGCCTCTTGGGCCTCAGCACGCTTCTCGCCCTCCTTGAACGGAAAGGAAACTGACGCCTGGCCAAGCTACTCCTAGATGTTGGTTTGTCCTCAAACCTTTGTGACTTCGGAGCCTCTGTGCAACCGCTCCCCAGAAGTGTGTTGCCAGAGTCCGACCAAGTGCCCACATTTTGGGAGGGCCGGGAGCGGGGGATCAGCGCTCTCCTGAGCTGAGAGGCAAGCAAGCTTTACGGATATCCCAAAGACACAGGTTTGGAACAGCTACCTGCTTCTTTGTTTTAGGGGAAGCTGTCCCCTTTTTTATACACTTTTGATCTTTTTCCCAAAACTCTGCTTTTCTGCAAGAGGAATAGTCATGACCTCTTCTGATTTGACAGAATTACTGTATGTTTGGAGCTTTATAGCCGTTTCTCAACTTCTCCATACCCTTAAACTGATCTTACGCTAAATAAAAGATTCCTTGTTGACGAGTTGGTGTCACGGGCATTAGAAATGAGGAGACGACTGATCAGTGTAGAGGCAGCAAATGCCGGAAGATCAAACGGGTTTGGTACAGCTGTCACCCAAAACCTGTAAATTCAGGGGCATCCCGTAGCTTAAGGGTATGGATCCACACACTTGGCGATGTGAAGGAAGCTCCCGTCTCGACTGGAACCAGAGGCACCTGGGAGTCACCCAAACCACTTCTGTTTTACAGAGCATCCCGACTTGGAAGCGTAGATCGGCACAGTGGCAACGGTTTGAACCAGGCACTGAGTCTTGGTGAATTCCCGCTCCCCTCCCCTGTGTGTGTACAGTACTACTTATGTGTACATATATACATAGCTGATCTAGATATGTGTATATATTTTGCATATAAACGTACTGGATATCAATGCCTGTTCTTTCCGGAAACTGAAAGGGTTTTTGTGCAATCGGTGTTAATATGTACTGTATCTTTTCCTCCACTTCTGTCTGTCTCCTTCCTTCCTGCCCACCGGCCTTCCTCCTTGTTTCTCCCATTCCGTTCTTTTCCTTGTTCACACAGGTCGAGATGCTTGTTCATTCCTCACTCTTCCTCGCCCTTTAACTCCACCAGTTTTGCTTACCGCGATGGATTTAATTTTACTGTACAGTACATAGTGAATGTTGGGGGCTTAGTTCCAGTTTCGCTTTGCTGCTGTTTTTGCCTGGGTCGTGTTTCTGTTCCTTGTCTTGGCACTGCTCAGTTTTGTAGCTGACCTTCCTGTTTCTCCCCACAAAACATTACATTATATTCTGGAAGAATCTGCATGTCCCCGATGTCTGTTTTTATATATTATGGCTCCTAATGACCATCGGGCCCTTTTTGGGCCCTTTTTCTAAAGTGCTGTGAAAAATCCCTGGTGGCATGTAAGATTTCCTCTCCTGCCTCATATTCCTCAGTTGTGGGGGGCAGAGAAACCTCTCCCCCAAGACTGGGGGAATTTAGGAAGGTTCATTATGAAAGTGGCGGTTTTGTGCCAGAAGCCAGGCGGTTGGTTGAAAAGTTTCCATCAGCTGACGGGCTGATTATTCAAAGTGAAAAGCGCCTGGGTGCGTCCAGCGTCTGGGTGTTGCATCACCAGCGGGGGAATTGCTGGTCCTTGAGGGTTTCCCTCGTGCTTTTTTAGAAAGCGTGTATGTAAAAATAAGTAGCTGTCAAAGGGAAAGATTCTGCCCTGCTCTTCAGCCTGGTATAGCCTAGTTCTTGGGGGCAGTCGTTCCCCCAGAGAAGGAGAGTTCCAGCAACCTACCAGGCCCAGGGCTGCCACCAGAAAGGGCCAGAAGGGGTGTGGAGGAGCCCCTTGTGGGGTAGCCCAGGTCTGCAGGGGCATGGAGAACTTTCTCTGTGGGATAGCCCAGGTCTGCAGCGGATGGAGGACCTCCTTGTGGGATAGCCCAGGTCTGCAGGGCACGCAGGACCTCCTTGTGGGATAGCCCAGGTCTGCAGGGCACGCAGGACCTCCTTGTGGGATAGCCCAGGTCTACATTTTCAGTCAGCCGAGACTTGGATATAAGGATGGAAGCACAACTAGCAGAGAGAACTCTCAGGGCTACAGCGTCCTTTCCAGGGAGATGCCCAAGGACAGCCCAGATAGAAGAGCAGCTGCTGGACACTGGCAAAGTCCTCCTTGGGTGGGCTGGCTGTCTTCAGAACACCAGAGGCAGCCTCCAGGCCAGGGCAGAAAGCGACCAGTTGACTCCTCTGGGTGGCTTTTCATGCGGGTTTTCTGAAATGGTAAAGGACCAGAGCTGCCTGCGTTCAGCAAGCCAGAAACCTGGCAGATGCTCCAGAGCACGTCCGCAGCCTGGCCAGTCCCAGGTCTGCCTGGAATCGGCTCGCTCACAGGGACCTCTTACGGGAGAGACAACGAGGAACTTGCTTTGCTCTGAATAGCTGAGGTAAAGGTAGTTTTTGCACCTGAGGTTCATTAAGATGCTTCTCAAATGACTCTCTGTTCCTCTGTCGTTGGTAGCAGAGGGGGCTGTCCTCTGGGACTCCATTCTCACAAGTCAGGGAGGACGTGAGGGCCATCGCTTGCAGGTAGCGCCATGCGACCCCGAGACTCATTTCTCAGAGGGTCGATGAGGTGGTAGTGGGCAGCGCTGGCGTTCCTGCAACGAGAAGCTTCAGCACCCTCACTTCTGCGGGAGGAAGTGTTGTAAAACTTTCCTAACGCAGATTCAAAAGGGCCGTGTGGGTTTCTTTCAAAGTTTAACGTGGATGGCACAAGAGGAAATGTAAGCATGTGTAAACTTCCATGAAAATAACCTTGAAATACCAAAGGGAAGTCCTGGAATGTTCTCAAGTAATGCTTTCAGACACCTTTAGAAGAGGCTGTATGCAGCCTGCCGTTGGCTTTCAGCCACGGTTCTCAGGAAAGACCCTTCGTACAGTGTAATTGTAGTCCGTAGAGTTGCCAGTTGCAAACCCAGTTGTAGTGCAGACGCCTTTTTGCAAAAGGTAACCATTGGCAGTTGCAGCAGCTTTGGGATAAAAAATCTGCTCCTGGTTTTCTGATGGAGGGTGCAATCCTGCGCATATTTTTAGAAGTCCTACAAGGCCAAAAACTCGCTGCCAGCGTGACGGGCAGGGGAATGCTGGGAATTGTGGGGCTTCTTTTCTGCTTGATGCAGGGGATCCATCCTGCAGAGGACTGGGCTGCTAACCACGGAGCGCCTCCTATTCCGATCTCCTTCAGCAGCATGCATCTCTTGCATCTTCTTCTCGATCCATGACCTCCCCGAGTTTTAGTAACGGCAGATGTGTGCAGGAAAGCAAATATACCAACGGAGGACAGTAACTTCTCAGCAAAACATTGGTCCTTGTGTGAATAAACGGGTCGCAGGCCAGAAGTCGGGCTTGCTCCAAACATGTCTTGGCTCCGAAGGAAACATGCCAGCAGTGCGTTTCCCTGCCCCCTGTCCTCCTTTCCTGCCGTAAACAGCCCCCTCCCTCCCTCTCATCTCTTGTTTCTGCTGACCTCAGCTCAGATAACCAGGAAACAGACTAGCAAAGGAAGTGGATCTGTCACAAACAGGACAAATTCTGCACTTCGAGTACCACTGTGAAGGTTAAAACAGAATGTAAAATGTAAATACTAACTGCTTTTCCTACAAGCTCTCCGGATAGTTGCAGGGTGTCGTGTGTGAATCTTGCCAAAGATTGAATGCCGGAAAGAGGAGGTTATCTCAGCAGCATTCTGCTTGTCAGAAGGGTCTTGAGGTCTCGGGCCGGTGTTTTTAGCTCCCTTAGTGTGAAGTTTGCCAAACAGGAGCTGTCTGAGGCCGAATGTCTTTGTTTGTTTTGGCCAAGGAAACACCCTTCCTCCACCTGGTGCCCTGTGGGTATGTTGAACTACAGAACCCATCAGCCCCAGCCTCCTGGCCACACCCAGTTGCAGTCCCACCCATCTGGCAGGCACTGTGTCCAGGAAGACAGTAGGAAGCACACGGGTGAGGTCCCCCCCCCCCCCCCCCCGCAGCAGAAACAGGGCGGTCCGGTGGGAAGAGTTTCTGGACAGGGACTTGGGAGAACCAGCTTCTGGTCCTTACCCCTCCATGAAAGTGCCCAGGGGGGCTTTGAAGCAGTCGCTGCCTGCCAGCCTCACCACCTCACAGGGTTGCTTGCTGCAAGGATAAAAGCAGGAGGACATGCACCAGGTTTCAAACATGGCGCCAGCCCCTGCAACTCTCGCAGCTCTCTGCAGCCTGTTCCTCCCTCCATCGAATCCCTCAGCCACGCCAAAGCATTTGGCCTCCTCTGCTCTCCCCGAATGGAGCTTCTGCTGCAGGAATTGCTCCGTTTCCCAGAAGAATGCTGGCTGTTCCTGATTTCCCATAGAGCCAAAAGGTGTCCGAACTTGGTCAGATCCCTTTGCATGCGTGAGAAAGCTTGATGGCGCTTTGCACCTTGGCAGGATCAGGCCCGATGCTGGTTGTATCAGACCAGCTCTCCCAGATGCAGTTACAATAGAAAGACAGTTTTCCCCTCGCGCATCTCAGTTTTCTATTCCACATGTGCAGAGCTGACATGAAAAAAATAGTATCTGTGATACATAAGCAAAATTATTCACCATGAACCCACTTAATTAGTACAGGAAACGCAGCTCAGGCCCGTTTTTAGCATGCTCCGATGGCTGTGCAAATTGTCCCTTTTTGTCTCGAGGGGCTGGGGACACACAATTGTTCTCCTACGCACACGTGAGTACCATTTTCCATCTGCTGATACATCCATATAGATTGTGGTACCATGAAAGCTCCACAGGGACTCAGGCTCTGGGTTGATCCATCTGAAATAAAAGTCCAGATCCTCAAATAAGAGTCATCCAGAAGCTGAAGCATTTACAAGTCCAGGTCAGGACAGAAATGAAAATTCCCCCAGAAGTAACTGGAAGGCAGACTGCCATAGGACAGGGGAATCTGATCGTATGAGCTTACCCTAGAAGAGGCCTCATCTGGATGGGTTGACCCACTCAAGCAATCCAGAGATCAGGGGAAAATCCGTAGGAACGTGGGAATCTCTTGCATAATAGAGATTCGGTGCCCATGCATCCGAAGAGCAACGAGGACTGATTTCTACTCAACATCACCCAACCAAGTTAGCTCCCAGTTGAAGCTGTCCCAGGTTGTAAATTCCTTCTTATCCAGACCTGCCTTAAATTTGGCTCCTTTCCTTTGATGGGGTCATTAAAACAGAGTTTTAACAACTTTCCCCAGCTCATTTTGCCTTACCCCAGCCTCATTTTGGGATGAAGGAAATGTCCAGGGTGTGGTATTGTCGGTCTCGCTGCATGAACCCTGCCTGGGGACGGGGTGGTCTTGCTATGCCCTTTTCTCGTGCCACAGTATTTCTCTCTCTGCTGCTTTTCTTGCATTCCTGCTTTTGGCCATTTCAAGCCAACCCGCTGTCCTCTCAGAGGTCCACTTGGCTAAGTTTTAATGCAAATTCTCTTAATTTAGCACGAGGGATTTTGTGGGTATCGGATGCACAAACATTTGCACGTTTCATCCACAAGCGGTGCACACTCCTCGGACTGAGTTGGCCTTGTCGGAAAGTGACCGTAGCTGCGTCTTTTGCTGGCCCAGCTTGCTCAGTGCAATCTGGGCGTGCACCAGAGCCCAGACCCGGGGTCGGACTGTAAGGGAGGCATTGGCAAAGAAGCAGGTCTTGCTTTAAAATGGCAACTATTGCGGGTCGGGGAGAGTCTGTACACAAGCCAGAGGCATCTTGGGCCTTGAGTGACTGGGATCAGTATTTGGGATCGATGAATCTTGCTCAGTTGGATATGCGGTGCAGTTGACTTTCAGCTCGTTAGCCAATCCAAGTTTTAAAGCAGTATTTGAATGTGTGAAATCATGTAGGATTTTTCTTTTTTCCTGAGACGCTGACTCGGGAGAGCTAGCTCGTGAATCTGCAGTGCTTGTAGGACAATTCTGCTCAGCCGCGTTTTCAAACGTATGTGCCTTTGAATGATTCATTCCTGCCCTCAGCCTTTCAACAAGAAATGGCTTTTGAATTCCTGTACTTTCCAGATTTGTTCAACAAAGCAGTAGTTGGCCAAAAACCCATTACCAATAAATTGAAGAGCCTGGTACCAGATTAAGGCTTCCGGTCTTATTCCAGTACTTGCATCCAATTTCTTCCTAAAAACGATAATTATTTTCAGCCTTTGAACTGAAAAGATCTGCTTGCACAAGCTTTTCCATGCTTAAAATGAGATTGTTTGGGTTCTCTCCTATCAGCCCTGTGTAGCATGGGCCCACTGAAATCAATGGGACTTAAACTAACATAGGATAAACCCCAATAGAAAACAAACCAGTTGTGATTGTGTACACCTTAAACATGGGTTTAAATTATAGCATGAATGTTCAGATTAGAGAATAGTCCCAGTTTGAGCCTTTGTCCAATGGAGCGTACTTGGTTGGGTGGATTCCTCTGTCTGGCTCCTACTAAAGCCCCTGCTGGCCAGACTGTGTTTGGGGGATGGGGGTTGCCCTCCCCGTCTTGACCCTCTTTGCCCTTTGGTTCACCTTCTCATACCACCTTCAGCAACTTAAGCTTGTGAGAATTCATTCTAGAAAGTGGCTTTTGCCATTCGTGTGTATACGAAACATCTTTCGTTGGGTCTCTGACCACCCGTGGGTACCAAACTTCTGCACTTCTGTGATCCCAGCCAAAATGCTAATCTTTCCGTGTGATGTCGGAAAGGCACCTTCCCCATCCTTTTGGGGTCCGTTACGTCACACGTAAGACATTCGTGTGAACTACTGGGGGACAAATTCATTGTACGCTGTTGAACTCCAGTAAGGTGAAGGCCTCACCTCTTCAGCAACCCACAAAACTTTGTAGAAAGATGGGGTTGCTAATAGGATGGAGGCAGATTAAGGGAAATCAAATGCTGCAGTCTTGTCTGTGCTTTCTTTTCTTGGGGCTGGGGGCACCAATCTTGCACCCTCCTGCAGACAGTCTAGGGCTGATGGGGAGGCCTCTGGCTGGAAGGACTGGGGGCTGCCAACCACCCCTTCCTTCACTCTTAATTTGGGGTATATTTCTTTGCTTTTCTGTCTGTTGCGTGGAATGTGACTCTTGCTGCTGCTGTACTTAGGAGTGAGAAGGGGATACCTTACCCATTTCAGCTCAAGAAAGACTCGATTAGCATTCATTTTTCAAGTGGTCAAAAGCAGACGGTCTTGTGAGCCTCAAACGAGTGTGAGAGAGAAGACCCTCCACCAATTTTGCACTTGCTTTGTTGGATTTTGAAAATGCATGCCTTTTAGCTAGCGTTGGCAACGTCTTTTCAGTGAATTATTTTCTTTTGATAAAAGAGTTGCTTCTTGGAAGAACAACAAAAATTCCTTTATTTGTATAAGGAACTTGATTGTATTTTAATAAAGAAAATAAATAAATGGAGATTGCTCTTTCTACTCTTTGGCTAAACGTCCTTCAGCCTTCGGAGGTCAGTGTGTGCTGACAGGCCCCTTCCCTAAGGAAACACTGTGCTCTGGCCAGGTTTCTTTCCATGCAGGCACCACATCGGCATGGGGAAGACCAGCCAGAAATGCTTCCCCTGCTTCAGGTAATGTGCATTTCTTGCAGTTTCCACGTCGGTCCTTTTTTGTGCACCTGGTTGAGCTCGTGCAGGCATCGCCCCGCTCTGCTCCTCTCTGGCCCGTCCTCTGGGTGCTCGCTCGCACCAGCCTGACGGCGAACCGCGTGGGACTGCAGTCCGGCTTGGCGGGGCCAGTGGCGTTCTGCCCCAGACGAGGGTGTCCTGGCAGTCCTCCGCCGCGGCCCCCACTTCTGTGATCGCTCTGGCTTTGCGGCCAGATGCATTTCAGGAAGACAGTCCTTCTGGAGAGCAGGCAAGGAGTGTTTCCCGGCCCTCCGGCCCCTGTCAGTGAAATGCAGCCCCGGCCACCTCTGTTCAGCACCTGTGGCGTGGGCCCAGCGAGGCGGGCTCTGCGCTGGCACCGTCAGTTCGCAGTGGGCTTCCAAACTCGGCTCTTGGGTCGAATGGCTCCAGGTAGAATCGAGGGGGAGAAACGGCAGGTTGCATTAAGACAGAGCAGCCGTGCATCCTAAC